TGGCTGCTTGATCTTGTGTCCCCCTCTAGGCACATGTGAAACTTCAATAAAATGCAAAATTGACTTAAAGAACTGTTCCATGAACTGATCGTCCATTTCTGTATGGAAATTGTGCTATAAATTACTTTGCTTTGCATTGAGGCATCAATTCTTGACTTTTAATTTTAAGGGACATATTTCAGAAATAAGTGCACATCTTTACGCTTCACGTGGCTTCTTCATGTGTAGTGCTTTCATTTGTCTGGAGCTGTGGTTAGCAAGAGAATAGGAAATCAATTTGTTAGGAAACACAAATGCATTCAGTGAGAGCTGCTGTTGGAGCAGTGTCCAGTGTCCAGCCACTCAGCTCTTGTTACACTTTGTAAGGGAACTCAAACAAGAGCCTTTGGTTGGTTAAACTCCAATATTCCCCTCTTATGGCTCTCAATAATCTACGTATAATATTCTCCAGAATTGGATAAATAGTGTGTGTCCTCCTGCGCCCCCCACCCATTGCCAGAAACACGGCCCCTGGCAAAAGCCATGGTCTTAGCCTTCGAAGGGGGAGGACTAAGCTTTTCAGAAGCTGGTAATAACTTACCCCGTCTTCTCTAAGCTAAAGCACTGTCTCCAAAGGCAATGCTGCAGCTGGAATCTGGGCTGTAAGGTAAGTGTGGCATTAATAACTGTGTCCTATTGTGATACAGGACCTCATGCATTGAGCTGGATAACAAAATAGAACAGTCCATTTGGAGCTTTTCCATGTGCTGTGATTCAAGCCTCGACTCATTCATTCTGAGATTTTCATTTCCACCAATCAGGGCTTTAAATTTAAAGTTTGACGTTAGACTACACAGGGAAACTTTAATTATTCCTAGGCAGAATGTATGTCGGTCATCTGATTTTTAGTTCTAACCGACAAACCCAGGTAAAAGACCCCAATATGAAATCAGTATTTACCGAATAAACACAGCAAAACCTTGTAAATGGTACCTGTCCTGACTACGTTCCCCTCCCCTCCCTCTCTTCCTCATCCAGAACTCTGCAGCCTGTGTCCTCCGTCACCCTATCACCTCCATCCTAACCTGAACCTTGTTATTGTTGTTGTTCCTTTCTTCCTTCCCCCCCCCCCGCTCTTCCCCTCCTGCTTTCCCCGCCTCCGCTAATATATTAATATATACAGTGTATCTCTCTCTATAGGTGTATATATAGANCCCCCCCCCCAAAATGCTAAAAATAACCTGAAAAATGACATTTTAAACCCTCAAAAACATAAGCCCTCAGTGTATGTCAGACAACATCCAGTGCAGTCACCTAGCCCTAAACAGCATATGTGTTGCACAGCATTACAAGATTGTTTGCCACTGTCAAGCGTTCTGGGACGCTTACCTTGCCGTGAGGGGCTCTGTATAAATGCAAGTTGTTGTATGTGTACAGAATGATTGATGGAGCTTCAATCCTTCAAAAAGGTTTCTGCCATTTCAGAGAAAGACATTAAGGTTAATGCATTAGGTGCTGTGATTGTTTATTCTCCACGCTTGAGTGACCAGAGGTTGAGCATTCTGCTGAAGCTAAGAATAGAGAATCGTAGGTCCTGCAGTTGTTATTCCGCAGGCTACCTCCTGAATTGATTTTTAACCCTGTGCTTGTGTAGCTGTCAAGATTCTATCCTCTCCATGCTGCCCTTTTTTACTCTTATTTCTCTTCTGCCCTATCTTCCCCCAATAAAGTACCTGATTATCTAATGAGTGCCACAATTTGCTATTAAACATTGGCAGCTTGATTACAAGTCTGCATTGTATCTTCTACAATTGCCATTAATAGCTAAAATTCAGTGTAGCTGTGTGTAATGGGATAGGAAGGAGGGTCTTTTTTCTAAACCTAACCTAGATCAGCTGATTGGAAAATGGTTTTACTGAGCAAATGGGACCGATGGTTTATGAGGGTGTAACACCTGTTTATTTATTATGCCTCTTTATATCTAATATTTTACTTTCCATCTTCCTCTGCACTAACATTTTATAAATGATTAATCAGCTTGGGCTGAGGGGAATTTTTATAGTGAGTCAACACTTTGAACTTATTATAAAAGTGCAATAAATATATATAATATATTACCTTCGTAGAGTATCTAGCTCGCTAAGTGGATTGTTTCAGTGGTATGCACATCATCAGCTTACTAATGCAAGTGAGGCAGTGGAAGCAAAAGGCCATCCATTCTCTTCTGCTTGTGGCTAAGAAGCAGGAGAGCAGAGCTCCGAATCCTTGAGTCTGAATTCTTTTGGGACCGTTGTCATTCACATTTTGCTGATTAATTTTACCTTGTTGATAGTTAATTTATGAAGCTCCGTTATCCTGAGCCAAATGGGAAAGAGGTGTTTTATGCAGAGAGTGGCAGCACACACACGGCAGCTGCAGATTGACACAAATTTTAACTTGCATTTTGTCCACAAAAGCAAATTACCATGATAGTGACTGAAGTCAGCATTGAAGATTCTGTAATTAATAGCAATTTCTCCAGAGCTGGGAGGCTTCTGTTCAGTGATTACTTTCACAAAGGAGATGAAGTAATCATTAACTAAACAAGCCAGTTCTGTTATCTGCACATTGCATTCCTCACATTGATGCCTCTGAATATAAGGAGTGTCACTGTTACCTGACTCCTTAGATTTCAAAAATACTTTTGAAACATTTCTGAGTCTTTGAGCTTTTGACTGAGCTGGACAGGGAATGAAGCCATTTTGGGACCAGCCCATGGAAGATATTTCACCCACCTTCACTGCCTACAGCAAAACCTCTGGCAAAAAGTGGGAGAGTGAGGTCTAACACTGCCAGGGGCTGAGCTAGGATGTGGTGCTGCCAGGGGCTGAGGTGTGGATGGCACCTGCTTCTAACGAGGGCTAAAGCTCGGGAAGAAGACAGGCTAGTACTGGCAGTGTCAGCTGACAGATTCCTCTCTGCACTTTACAACTAATTTTTTCCAGTTACACAAGTTCTACTGAAGTATGTAGAGATTGTGAAGCCACCCAGTCATTGTTAGCTTCACACTCAGAATAGAAATCATATTCATGCAAATACTGGAACAACTCCTAATACTGGAACCATCCTGCCTGTGTTTACTAGAGAAACTTTTGGAAAAGTGTCTCTTGTGTTGTCCCGACAGGAGCTTGTGCCTCGGCCCCATCAGCACCACTGAGCAGGACATGATATAGTCACTTAACCTGCCACGACTATAATGGATGGTGTGCCAAGTGGGAGAGTTTGTCTCAACTCTTGGGTTGTTGACTCAAGTGAATTCAGAAATAATCAGTAACCAAAAGTCCCATTAGGATGTAAGACCTGACACTGATGGTGTTCGGTTTTAAACCTGCCTCAACTGAACCCATGCTGTCTCAGGTAGGAGCCTTCTGATCAAGCAGCTAATAACATTTTCAAATGTGTGAATCCTACAACCATCTGGTAGCACAATTCCTGTGAAATGTTGGTTCATACTCTTGAGCACAAGCGCAAGCAATACTCCTGGTAATTGAGACCACGTCATGAGATGGAATTTGTAAACACTTAGAAAGACAGGGATCTGTGTGAGTATTATGAAGGGCAGGTCTTGTTGTACAAATTGTTGAAATGTAGTTGCTGATGTACATATTCTACCTCTGGAAGATGCCACATACAACGGCAACTTGCACAACAATTTTCCACAAACAGCCAATGAATGACCAGGTTTATCTGGGGAATGTAGGCCAACACACCAGAAGAAATTCTCTTTTCTCTTTGCCAGGGCCATGGGATGTTTACCATCTAGCTGAGCAGGCAGCTGGGACCTCAATCAAAGAAGTGCAGATACATGAACCTTTATGGGAAATCCAAATTATATTCTGGGTTTAGTATATAAGGGCATAGAATATATAATCAAACAAGTGGTTACACTTATGCAAAGGCTGTGGTTAGGCCACAGCTGGAGTGCTATATGCTGTTCTAAATACTCCATTATACAAAGGACATTAAAGCTATGGGAAGGTTGAGTTTGGGCGAGAAATCAGTTTACAGATCTCTTTAATCAGTCTATGTGGAACCTTTTCAGCATAAATTCACATTGATGATGCCAGGGATTATAGTTGGGAGGATATTGGATAATTATTTGAATTTGAAGAGGAAATATAAAGAGTGGGGAATTGGTAATCTAATAGTTGGCTTCTGTGGATGAACCGTGTCTCTCCTCCATTTTCAAGGTTCCGTCCTTGCGTAGTTTCACTCTTATCTTTCCCATCGTCTTCACTTTATATCCACTAATGGCTTCTCCATCCATTAAAGCCCCCTTTATATCCACTAATGGATTCCACGATCTTGCTCCCCCCTACCTGTAGGACCTATTAAAATATTATCAACCTGTCTGCTCCTCCCAATCGGTGGACACTCGTCTGCTTCATGTCCCTCGCCCTGCCCTCTCCACCATCGGCAGTCAGGCCTTCAGCCTTTTTGCCCCCACCCTCTGGAAGTTCATCCCAGAACCCCCCTCTCTTATCTCCTTCAAGGCCTGCCTCAACACCTTCCTCTTTGACCGCGCCTTTGGTCACCCTCCCACCTCTACTCCCTCTTACCCTCCATACCTCCAACCCACAGCTCAGGTGCAAACCTTCATTGTCTTGGGATGTCCTATCGACATGAAAGGCGCTGTGTAAATACAGTTTGTCATTGTTATTGAACTAGCAGCACCAGCATGGGCTCAGTGGTTTGAATGGCCTCTCTCTGTGCTGTAATTTCCACGATTCTAATTGCAGCCTGAAGGGTTGCTAAAGCTTATACTTAAAATATTCAGGAACTCTAAATTGGAGGCATTACATATTCAAAGCTGATGCTGTATAAATGTTAACCAAATAACAAATCCAGGGAAAGGGAAAGTCTAACTTGTGATCCTGGAATTTAAGGGCAAGTGAGACGGAGCAATCTTGAGGGGGAAAAAAATCTCTGTTTCTTACAGGGTGTTACCTTATAAGTTTTGTTGATTGATGTACTATTTACAGGCCGAATCATAAATCGGGATCTTCGACACTACCTCAGTTTGCAGTTCCAGAAAGGATCAGTAGACCATCATCTTCAGCAGGTCATCCGTGACAATCTGTACCTGAGAACAATTCCATGTAAGTCCAGCCTCCGCAAAGCTGCCCCCTGCCTTTCCCTCACATCCACACTACCCAACACACGGTAAAATCTTGTGAAGCACTTTGAGACATCTTGATAATTTTAAAAAGATGATGTATCAAATACAAGGATTATTACCATGAGAAATTTTTATTACACGATTTGATGGCAATACCATTGGTAAAGACTAAATTGGAAGAGAGGCCGACATTGTAAGAATTGATAGATACCCCAGGGATTCAGTGGAATAAATCCACCATGTGCTGTGGTACAGAGCCATACAGATTAAGAAAATCTTTAAGATTCGATTGCTGATCCAGGCTTTTGATCGCAGGCAAATTGGTGGTGAGCTGCCTCAGTTGCTCTGGAGACCTGGGATGAGAGAAGCTATTGAGCCCAGTGTTCCTGCTTCTGATTAATGTTTAGCAAAGCCTCTAAAAACAGGTCTTGTATGTGAACATGGGCAAGGTTTTGCTCAACAGTTACTGCCCATCCTTCACAGTAATCATACCCCTGAGTGTGTTCTTGGAATGGACTACTCAAGGATATGGTGGGGTGATTCAACATGGAATTCCATTCTCATTTGGCATAGAAATTGAGTGTGGGTATATGTGATATAGTCCCCTCTTTACTTTGGGATTGGTGAGATTAACAGAACTAGTCTTTTCCGGGTCTGTAAATCCTATGTTTGTACATAACTGCAAAGCTTAAAAAAAAACTAAAGAAAAGTTCATGGAATCTTGAGCATCAATATTAATTGATTTTATTTTGTATTTTGTTTCAGGCACCACCAGGGCTCCAAGGGATGGTGAGGTGCCTGGAGTTGATTATAACTTTATTTCTCTTGAAGAGTTCAAAGTGCTAGAGGACAGTGGAGCACTTTTAGAAAGTGGGACGTTTGATGGTACGTTAAATTTTGTAATTCAGAACTTTCATTCACAGGGCTGTGCCCTCTCTAATCTGTTCCCCCTCTAAACTGTTTTGGAAGACCCTGATTTCCCACCAATGTAATTTATGACAATTTGTGACCTGAAAAAGGATTATTTCTACCCCCAAACTCACAGCAATCAGGACATGAGAAGATATTGCTGCTGTGTATGACATTCATCTGGAGACTGAAGCTTAACAGTAATGTGACTGCCCTGAGTAGGGTTTTTTGGAATGAGCTTGTTTACCCCATAACTTGCTCCAAGTAAATAGAAACTCTAATTAGGTTTTATATAATTGCTTATTGATTTTGTTTATTCTGTTGAACTGATGGTCTGATAACATTAAACTCGGGTTGCCAGGTAACCTCTATGGGACCCCAAAGCCCCCCGCTGAGCCGGGCCCTTTTCAGCAGGATGTAGTTGATCAGGTTCTTCTTGAAGACGGCTTGGAAGAGGCACAAAGAAAACGGACGATGTCTGTCAGCAAGATGGACAGACTTGAGGCTGTGCTCCCGGAGGATGATGATGATGAGAGGCCCATCGTCAATGGCACTGCTCCGGCAGGTAAGAGAACGGAGGCTTCAGTCACAAGCTTGTCTCCATTGCCTCGAGATGTGTGTGTGTTTGCAGCAATTGATCGTTCAGTCAGGTTGATTTAACCTAGAGCTACACACCCTGTGATTTCTTTGGCTTTTGTGCAGACAGTCCATGTTTGTTATGTGTGAGGAAGAGGATAGTGATGTAGTAATGCATCACAAGGGGAAAAGTTGCAGCAGTTGGTGCTTTTTACTGTGAAAATTTCATTAATTGTAAAGGAAGGTGAGAGATGGGGGATTTGTTTAAACAAATGCAATTAAAATCTGAGAATGTGAGGTGGACCCCCACTGTCAGTTTGTGCTGTTAGTGGCCAGGAGCCATAGTGGGTTGGACTGAGCCTGTCCCAGACACATTGCTCACTTTAATTGTATCCACTAACAATAGAGCTTTACTCCTCTGGGCGAAAGGTCCACATTTCTCCTCCCTTGAACCAAGTATAATGACAATGCTTGAATTCACAGACTGGAAAAGCGTCCCAGTATCCAGCCATCCTGATGGTTCATCAGACTTCCAGTATCTTGATACATTAACCAGAGAAGAAGCCTTAGAACCCTTGCCCAGAAACTGGGAGATGGCTTACACTGACAATGGAATGGTCTACTTCATTGAGTAAGTGCATTACAACAACAACAACAAGATTCCATTTATAAAGCGCCTTTCACGTCAGGAGGACGTCCCAAGGCGTTGCACAGTTGGGTCATGACCCGAGCAGGGGGGAAATGGTCAGGGTGAGGGGAGGGGAGGGAGCGAGGAGGGGGGAAATGGTCAGGGTGAGGGGAGGGATGGGAGGGAGCGAGAAGGGGGAAGAGAATCGAGAGGGAAGCTGAAGGCTCGGTCAAAGAGAAAGGTTTTGAGACCGGCCTTGAAGGAGGAAAGGGAGGAAGTAAGGCGAAGGCACTGGGGAATAGAGTTCCAGAGCCTCGGGGCTGAGAGGCTGAAGGCCCGACCACCGATGGTAGGGCGGTTGGGGCGGGGGACGTGGAGCAGACCGGAGCCGGAGGAACAGAGGGTACGGGCAGGTAGGTAGGGGGATAGTAGGTTGGAGAGGTAGGAGGGAGCAAGGCCGTGAATGGCCTTGTAGGTGAGGATGAGGATCTTGAAATCAATCCTCTGGGGGATGGGGAGCCAGTGGAGGCGAGCGAGGGTGGGAGTGATGTGGTCCGAAGCCTGGTGCGGGACAGTACACGAGCTGCAGAGTTCTGAATGACCTGCAGCTTGTGGAGGGAGGTGCGGGAAGGCCGGCGAGGAGAGAGTTCCCATAGTCCAGCCTTGAGGTGACAAAGGCGTGAACCAGGGTTTCAGCAGCGTGAGGGGTGAGGTAATGGCGTAGTCTGGCGATGTTCCGGAGGTGATGGAAGGCGGTGCCAGTTGTGGTGCGGATGTGAGGGAGAAAGGACAGCTCAGGGTCGAACAAAACGCCGAGGTTCCTGACTGGCTTTGAGAGGTGGAGAGTGCAGCCTTGGATGCTGATGGTGTCAGCGCCTGAGGTGCGGAGGCGCTGACGCGAACCAATCAGGAGGGCCTCGGTTTTTCGCAAGTTAAGCTGAAGAAAGTTGTCTCTCGTCCAGGACTCGATGTCGGACAGGCAGGCTGTCAGGACATCGGTGGTCGTGGAGTTGAGAGTAGAGGAGGAAAGGTAGAGTTGGGACCTAACATTAACATTAATATATCAGAGTGGAATGTTTTTGCAAGAGAATTACCAAATGTTTAATTTGTGTATAGAAAGCCTATAGTTGATCACGCTTAATCATGGTGATGGGTTTCCACGCGTGTCATAACTTCCAAGCTTAATTATGCAACCTGTCTGCTTGTCGGCCTCCCCAACTCCTCCCTCCATAGGGAGATCATCCGGAACTCTTCAGCCCGTGACCTCTCCTGCACCAAACTGCGACCGTATCACCCCCATCCTCGCACAGAGTTCAAGATCCTGGTCCTTACTTTCAGGGCCCTCCATGGCCTTGCTCCCCCCTACCTCTGCAACCTCCTGACCCCTTCTAACCTCTTCAGTAAATCCTGAGATCAGCCAAGCCTCTATTCTCCATAACACAGACGCCTTTCACAACTTGGTGTTAAATGACCGAGTACATGAACAACTCAACAATAAATTACATTTGTATATTATCAGGAGGACATCCCAAACTCAGCATTTCGAGTAAGATTCTTAGATATTTGAATTTTGGGAGGTGGATCCTGACTGTAACATCTCACACCTTGGAAAGTATCTGTTCACTACAGTATTGCAGTTGCTAATGGGGCGATAGAGGAGAGAGGTGATATTATTCGGTTGCAGAATGTTTGTTTAATGAAGAGCTAACGTTTTTGGCTCAGGGATCAAACAAGTTTAATAGAATTTTCTGTGGTGACTTATGACTGACACCTCAGAGGCTCTTCTCAGAGTTTAAGTATCGTGTCGTCAGACTGACACCTGGGCCTGGCTGCAGTTGCGAAGTACATCACCTTTATTAAATCTGTTGAAATCACATTAAGGTTATATACGATCCTCCTATCTTCCCTGTGAAATCTGTGAACTTTTACTTTCAGTCACAACACCAAGACAACAACATGGCTGGATCCTCGGCTTGCCAAGAAAGCCAAACCTCCTGAGGAGTGCAGTGAAGGCGGTGAGGAACCTCTTTCAGATTTGCCATCATGCATTTCTTCCCAAAGAAAAACTATAAAAATAACAAATAATCCTTACATTGGATATAATATCTTTGTACATAGTGCGCAGGAAACAATGTCAGCCATGCTTTTTGCACATAGCAGGCGGGGGGAGAGGAGGGTAGGAAGTGACATCAGTGTTGCTTCCTCTGCATGGTGACCCATGTTAATTGAAGCTGAAAGTGTTTAGCAAGGGCTACAGTCCACCATTACCACAAACCAGCCCAAGTCAAACACAATAATGTAGTGGAGCTGTGCGAAGATATATTGCTGTAATGGAAGCCTATTTGCCTATTTTGTTGGATGTTTAGTAAACTACTCGTAGCGTGAATTAGTTAATGTGATTTGTTGTTGTATTTGTATTGTTTACCTCAGAACTTCCATATGGCTGGGAGAAGATCATTGATCCCATTTATGGGACTTATTTTGTTGAGTAAGTTCTGAAACTCTTTAATTCATTTTTTAAAAAAAAGCTCAAAACAAATTGTTTAAAGTGATAAATTGCTGTGTTTTTGGGGGCGGTGGGGGAGGCGAGAGGAGAAAAGGCATATCATAGCTGAACCTGAGCTTGTTCTTGCTCAACATCCAGGAGTGGGTACTGGCTGGGGAGAAAGACTGACTGATGGGGTGGGGGGTGACTGCTGGGGGGGCAGGGCTGGCCAGGGGGTTAGGCTGGGGGCGGGGCTGGGGTGCACTCTGACTGATGGTGGGGGTGGAAGCTGGCCTCTGGTTACCAAGAATTAAACTTAGGACCTTTCCAATCAAGTTATGTCTTACCTGCTAAGCCTGAAATAAGTTCTGATTCTGATTCTTTGGCAGAAGTTCCTTGTAGGTTTGTTCAAAACTGCATAATTTTTTTAAAAACCCGTTAATAATAGGAATATTTGGAGGGAGGGTTTTCAGGACAAGATAAATAATGATAATAAGGCTGAGTGGCTGATTTGGTGGCTATATTTGATTTGTGGAGCTACAAATGTAATGTTTTCCTGTGTCCATCCTCCAGTCACGTACATCAGAAAACTCAGTTTGAAAATCCTGTTATTGAAGCAAAACGTAAGAAGCGTCTGGGACAACAACATGAGGGTCAGGACAATGGCTCCAGAGGACGTCAGCCAGGTAGTGCCCCTCGCTTAGTCGCTCTGCCTCACACCGTAACGTCCCCTCACTCAGCCTCACACCCGGAACACTGAAGCTATCCCTCACTCTGCTTCATATTTGCTCAAGGTTTAATTTCTCTATCCTGTTTAGCATCATAGTCTTGGAAGAGAAAAAGCATTCGGTGTATTCCTGTGCCATTGTTTTGCTATGTGTGGAGTGTGAGTGAGGCAGCTCAGCACCATTGCAATGCCTGTCTCAGCACTTTACCTGGTTTAATAACCAGATCCTGATCTATAAAGCTTTGTGTCAACGATAGTAAACTTAGTGAAAAGTGAATTCTCACTACTTTGCTTTAACGCTCTCTTTAATGCTTGATGTCTTCCCTCAGAGAGACCTATGTTTACTCGGGACCCATCACAGCTACAGGGGATGCTAATCAGGACAACTTTACAAAAGAGTGAAATGGGGTTTGGGTTCACAATCATTGGAGGCGACAGCCCGGATGAGTTCCTACAGGTGAAGAATATTATTGAGGGGGGTCCAGCTGCTGAGGAAGCCAGCATGCTTCCAGGTCAGTTTCCAGCTGAAACCTGTTTTCCTCACTCTCAACACTTTAACATTCTCTATTCTGGATCTTTGCTACAACAACAACTTGCATTTATATAGTGCCCCTCACGACCTTTATAAATGGATGTCCCGGAGCGCTTGACACGCTTTATGTGACACATGCAGGGCGACCCAGTTCATAAATTCATAAATCCATCTGAATGAGCTTTCCATTTAGTCCCATTCTCTTGTGGGTTTTTCCCCCATACCCTTTTTCATATTCTTTTCAGATATTTATCAAATTCCCTCTTAAAAGCAAATATGGATTCTGGCTTAACCACAGTTGAAGTTGGGGTTTTCCACATTGTTAAAATGTGTAAACTCTGTAATGAGCTTCAGATTAAAGAGTAAAATTAGATATTCATAGATCATAGAATTATACAACACAGGAGGCCATTCGACTCGTCGTGTCTGCGCTGACTCTTTGAAAAGAGCTATCCAATTCGATCCCATTCTTTCTCCATAGCCCTGCAAACTTGTCCTCCCCAAATAATTATCTACTCTCTTAAAAGTTGTTATTGAATCGGCTTCCACCACCCTTTCATGCAATGCATTCCAGATCCGAACAACTCAACTGTTAAACTGTTTTTGTACTTACTTGTTCTAAATGTATATTGATCTCCGATAATCATAAATTGATTTGATTTCTCACAGTTACCATATTGTTTGTGTTGCTGCAGGTGACGTTATTGTGTATATAAACAGCACATGTGTCCTCGGCCAGACTCACGCTGACGTTGTGCAGCTCTTTCAGTCTGTTCCTATAAATCAAACTGTCAGATTGATTTTATGTCGAGGTTACCCACTGCCCTCTGACGCCGAGGATCCAACTATTGATCCAGCAACTGCTACACCGATCATTGTTGGACAGTCTGTGATGCATTCTTTACAAGGAAATCAAACCACTTCCGAGCCAAATGACAAGCAGCCCTTGGGGCAGTGTAATGATCATTTGAATGGCCCTTATTTAGGCCTAACTGAAGATCGAATATCCATGGTCACCTCTGGAAGCTCTCAGGCTGAGGTGTTGACTATTCCTCTTGTGAAAGGACCAAAGGGTTTTGGCTTTGCAATAGCTGACAGTCCAGGAGGGCAGAAAGTGAAGATGATCTTGGACAGTCAATGGTGTAAAGGTCTTCAAAAGGGTGATGTAATCAAGCAGATTCAGCATCAATGTGTGCAGCATCTGGGCCATGTCCAGGTGGTGGAGATCCTGAAGGAATGGCCGGTTGGAAGTGAGATATCTTTACTGGTCCACAGAGGAGGTTAGTACTCTGCACTGTAAATAACCTGTTTATAATCCTGCTATTGATTCAAATTTCAAAAGTTTTTCCTTTTTAAAAACAAATCTATTGAATTTGTTTATTTTATTGGCTGCATCCAGTGGTTGTGTTGCTCAGTATAGTCTCACTACCTACCTGCATTTGTGCTCCTTTCCAGATGTACTGTCCATAATTAGAGAAATATTCAATGTGGCTCCAAGCATTTCATCAAACTCCTTCCACTCTGTTTGTGCCTTATCGGTGACTTAACCTCACGAGAAGCTACTTTTATTTTACAAAGTGAAGTAGTAGGAATATAGTTTGCTTTTTTGCAATCATAATGGCATTTTAATGAAGTAATGTTAACCAACATAAGATAAGTAGAAAAATACGAAAGCAAATTTACTAAATTTATTCCATGCATGCACAAAGTGCATGTCATGTCACTTAAGTGATGAAATCCTATGAAATGTCACACTTTTGCATTAGCCACAACTAACCCTTGTTTATTCTGGTAAGGTAACAACTTGCAGTGGGAGATCAGTACTGATAACAGCCAAGGATCTAAACTCTAAATGAAAAAGTGGCGCTATAAATTCTGGGAGTATTCTTGCACTTATCTGTAGAAGTGTTCTGTGTGTCTCACACATTTTTCTTTATTACAGGGCATTCTTCACCCATTAAGGTTATAAAGCCAGTAAGTTTTATTAAACATTTTAAATTTTCCTGTAAACCTGTTTTCATTCATAAACTTTTCAGTGTGCACTTCTGCTCAATGTGTTCTGTTGCTGTACGACTTTCATCTCTTCAGTGGATGTGTTAAACATCAGTTTCCTTGCGGTCAGTGATTGGTGAAATAAGATATGGTCAATTCTAAAATAAAAAAATGAAAGTCACTGGGAACACGCAGCAGGTCAGTCAGCATCTATGGAGAGAGGAAAGTGAGTTAACGTTTCAAGTTGATGACTTGAATTGTCAGAACTGCCTTATGATCAATTCTAGATGTGAACAGCAGAAACTGGGTGAAGATAGTCAGAATTCATTATTCTTGCAGGTCTTATGAAGGGAAGAAGATTGACAAGATTTCAAACCTAGACCTCGTCAGTAAAAGTGTAGTATTCAAAATAACACCATTTACAATAGTGTAAATGGAAATTAGTCCGATGTAAGTGTAATGTGCATAATGTTGAATATTGAATGTTTTATTTTTTAAATAACTGTTTTCCTGCCTTTTTCTATAGACTTCAGACCAAGAACAGAAGCTGGGGATGTGTCAGACCCTTCCTCACGGTCCCCCGATCCCACAACCTCTGCCCTTCCCACCGAATGTTGTAGGGCCTTCCTCCCCTAAACGTGATCCCACTGAGCTCTATGTACAGTCCAAAAACATATATGACAGCAAACGTAAGTAAAATCTTGTGAAATGGAGAGCTTTGTGGTAAAAGGAAGAGATTATAAATTAAGATAATTTAGTAATACGAAGAAAGGATAGTGGATCAGCTCATAGTTGCTGTGTTTTCTGAATATTTAGCTCCAAACACTGTGGACATTGATATATTTCTCCGGAAGCAAGAGAGTGGATTTGGCTTCCGAGTGCTTGGTGGGGATGGACCAGAGCAACCGGTATGTTTTCTCAACAAACTCTCTTTGGTTTGGGTTTTGGCTTTTGTGGGATGTTGGGCTCAAGCCTCAGTTTGGGAGTCAGGGCTGTCCCCGCAGACAAGATCCTCCGCCCAAAAGACAATGCCACCTGAACCCTGTCCTCACAACCCCCCTGAGCAGGTCAGGTGACACGATGGCCTCTCTGGCAGGACAAGCCCGGCCTGAGCCGTGCGTTTGTGTTGGGGGGTTAATAATAATAATAATCCTTGCATTTGATATAGCGCTTTTCACGTTGGGAGGACTATAAAGTGAATTGACTGTATATGTGTGGGCGAACGTGGCAGCCAATTGCGCACAGCAATGTCCCACAAACAGTCGTAGATTGAAAATGACCAATTTATTATTGTTTTTGGAGGGATTATTATTAGGCTGTGTGTGGAGTAAGGAAACTTGCCCAAGGTTTCGCCCTGCCTGGAATTGAACTCGGGTCTCTCGCTTGCAAAGCGAGTGCTCTAACCACTGAGCTACAGGACTCCACGAGTTGGCAGCAGACGAGAGACAACTTTCTTCAGCTCAACGTGCGTAAAACTGAGGCTCTCCTGATTGGCTCCGTCAGCGTCTCTGCACCTCAGGCGCTGACAGCATCAGCATCCAAGGCTGCACTCTCCACCTCTCAAAGCCGGTCAGGAACCTCGGTGTTCTGTTCGACCCTGAGCTGTCCTTTCTCCCTCATATCCGCGCCACAACCGGCACCGCCCTCCATCACCTCCGGAATGTCGCCAGACTACGGCACTACCTCACCCCTCACGCGGCTGAAACTCTGGTCCACGCCTTTATCACCTCAAGGCTGGACTATGGGAACTCTCTCCTCGCCGGCCTTCCCGGCCCTCCCTCCACAAGCTGCAGGTCATTCAGAACTCTGCAGCTTGTGTACTGTCCCGCACCAGACACCGCGACCACATCACTCCCACCCTCGCTCGCCTCCACTGGCTCCCCATCCCCCAGAGGATTGATTTCAAGATCCACATCCTCACCTACAAGGCCATTCATGGCCTTGCTCCCTCCTACCTCTCCAACCTACTATCCCCCTACCTACCTGCCCGTACCCTCCGCTCCTCTGGCTCCAGTCTCCTCCACATCCCCCGCCCCAACCGCCCTACCATCGGTGGTCGGGCCTTCAGCCTCTCAGCCCCGAGGCTCTGGACTCTATCCCCCAGTGCCTTCGCCGCTTCCTCCCTTTCCTCCTTCAAGGCCGGTCTCAAGACCTTTCTCTTTGACCGAGCCTTCGGCTCCCCTCTCGACTCTCTACCCCCTCCTCGCTCCCTCCCTTCCCTCCCCTCACCATTTCCCCCCTCCTCGCCCTCTCCCTTCCCTCCCCTCACCCTGACCATTTCTCCCTTGCTCGGGTCCTGACCCAACTGTACAGCCCCTTGGGACGTCCTCCCCGACGTGAAAGGTGCTCTATAAATGGAATCTTCTTGTTGTTGTTGTTCTTGTTTTGTTATTTGTTGGTTTTGTTTCCTCCCCATGTTTGAAGCCTTTTCTCTTTGGCTGCACTTTCTCTCCCCCAACCCCAGCTCAGGCTCCCGGACCCGGTTCAGGCTCCCAGCTAATTCAGCGAAGCACTTTGAGAATCCCCAGAATGTGACGGGTTTATATGGACAAAAAAATGTAAAATTGTTGTTGTAGATTCTAATTGGAGCCATTATTCCACTGAGTGTTGCTGAGAGAGATGGGCGGCTACGCGTGGCTGATGAGCTGCTGTATATTGATGGTGTTTCAGTGAAAGCAAAGCCTCATCGATTTGTATTGGATTTGATGCAAAATGCTGCTCGAAATGGTCAGGTGCTGCTTTCAGTCAGAAGGAACCTTCATTGCCCTGGTGAGCCTTTTTCTTTGTGTTGGACGAAAATACGTGCTTTCTGGTGTGTACAATTTTCTGAAAAGATGAGGGTAAAGATTAAGGTATCTGCATGTCTATCAGCTGGCTTCATTCTTAATAATGTCTTTATTCTGATGTGCATTATCCCTGTAGCCGGGTGCTCTGGGACGCTACCCTATGTGAGGGGCGCTATATAAATGCAAGTTGTTGTTGCGGAGGGAGGGAATCTAGGTGCTGGGTAGTAGCAGTTTGCTTGCTTCAATAGAGATTCCCTTTGTTTCTACCCTAGAAGATCAACAGGAAGCTCTGAGAGAGTGTGGTTCAGAACCTGTTGGGAATGGCTCCCCGAGAATGAACCACGCAGACCTTGCACAGAGGCTGTCTAAAGCAGTCGCTTTGTCTCAGGCCTACAGCGTTGTCCTACAACGGCAGGAACACGAAGGGTTTGGATTTGTCATCATCACCTCGAAAAACAGGCCCCCTACAGTTGGTAAATTAAATCTCTGAACGTCTCATCGATGTTGGGCGCAGATCAATTTTATTGCCATTTTGCTATTGTTTTCCTCCCTCCTGACGATGCTGATTTGTGCAGGACATTCCCTGGCCTTTCGTCGATCTGGAATACCTCCCCAAAATCTAATGTTAATGACACAGTGATGCCATCATCAGGCACTTTGGGATTTCTTTGCATATTTGTTCATTTAAATTATTTGTTCTGTGGTAGATTAGTTTGTTTTTCACAGCATCAGTGCTGCGGTCTCCCCCTCCCCCTGCCCCAGAGTGGGGCACAGAATCTTCTTTCTGCTTTTGAAAAGGAGTTGGGGAGATGCCACCATATGTGCACAAAGCTCTGCTGTTCAGTTGCTCCTTGACTTGATGATTTGTTTCTGGACAGCGGTGCCGCATAAAATTGGGCGCCTAATTGACGGGAGCCCGGCCGAGCATTGTGGGAGACTGAATGTTGGGGACCGTATCTCGGCTGTGAATGGACAGTCCATTATCCACATGCCCCACCATGAGATTGTTCAACTGATCAAGGATGCTGGACAGAAGGTGACTCTCACTGTCATCCCTGGGGAAGGTAAGTAGATTGGATATGAGTCATTGATAGTCCATTCAGCACAGATAATACACATCTGCAAAGAGAATTTGGCACAACAATCTATAGCTCAGGGGTTGGGGGAAATATCCAATTCAAGAATGAAAATCTTAGAAGATAGATTCATCTGCAAAGAGCAAGTAACCCATTGGTTTGGAGATGCCAATATACACCAGCCATTATGTCATTTGTTTATTTTTAAGATTTAAATGGCCCTCCATCAGGGGGAAGCTCAGCGAGACAGAGCCCTGCACTGCAGCATAAGCCCATGGGACAGATACCTGCTCTTCAAGTTCCAACACAAGAAAACAGGTCTGTGTGAGCAGGCACAAGTCTGTGTCTGGCTGGGTGTATCTATGTCTCTAGGTCTGCACACTTGTGTCTGCATCTCTCCCCCTCTCACCCCCACTTTGCAGGACTAGCAACCAGCTATCTCCTGACCAATTGTGCACACTGTAGGGTCCAAGCCCTGGCTCTTGCCAACCTGTTCCTAATACTCTCCAGAGTTACATAAGCAGAGTGTGTCCCTTCAAGGAGAGTGTGCACATTCCATTCCAGACATGGGAAGTTTCATGTGTAGGTGGCATGCTAATGTGGACTCTGCCTATTCTGGATAATTTTGAGCACAGTGGTAGGTTTTTAATGTTTTGAACACCGCTGACCAAAACAAAGCACCACCTCCTTTCAGGACTCTGCCATCATTGAACAAACTCCCATTTTGCTGTCTCAAATCTGGAGTCTCCCTCCAACTTATTTGGGGAATAAATACATTTATTTTGCATGTTAAACTTCTCTTTAAAACTTCATTTTCCTTTTTAATTTTCCTCCCATTTTCACTCTTCAAAAAACTACATTCTGCATGTCTGTGTTGAAATAATTACAGTTGCTCAATCTACAATATACACATGTGTTTTAGTGTTGATTCTGTGTCGCCGAGTTACAGCCTGAGGGATAATGAGTTTAACCTTTCACTCAGCAGCATTGTGGAAGGAGATGAAAAGAAAAATGGAGAGCCTCTTGTTTTTGACTATATGAAACCACCATCAATGGACTACAGGCGGCCACCATGTGAGCAGTATGCTCACACAGCACCTGACAACAGACAGCTGAGGGAGACGGGAACCAGACAGCCTCAGGTATTGCCCGAGAGGGTCTAGTAACTGAACTCCGCACTCCAGCACATTGGCTTACACTGTACTGCACTCAGCCACAATAACCATTGTTGCCAATCTCCTTTCTAACCACAAAATCTGCTTTTTTTGAAACTGGAATATCTCCCATGCAACAGTAAAACTTGACGCATAATAAAGATGGTAAATAAACCATTAAGTGCAGACTGCTCACTAACGGAGAAAAGGCTTGTATTAAAACAATCAAAACCTTTTAACCACTCTGTGTTAATGTTGCTCGTATAAATCTCAAGCTACTGCTGGTAATGATGGTATATTTATTACCTGACTTTCTGGGTGTGCTATTCTGGTTAAGATTCTCAATTTCCCACAAAAAAGGATGCTTGTATCCAGTTCTGCTTCAGTGCATTTCTGAAATCTATCATTGACCCGGATGACTGAAACTGAACTCTATTTAATCACTAATTGAATGAAAGTTCAATTAAACAAGAAGAGGTGCTGCAATTTTAAGTATTTGATGGACACGGTCCATTTGAGTTAGTATATAAAACATTTAGGTAGTCTTACTATATAGATTTCAGATCCAGCGGTTAGCTCAACTAGATGCCCACTTAAAAAAAATCTATTTTAATCAAGGTTTTCAATAATTTAATAGTTGCTATTGTTCAGGTTTTTTTTTTCTCTCGATGCAATAGATTCACAGCTGCAATTTGCATGTTAAATCTTGTGATTTCCCGACACTTGTGCTTAGATTGTTGCTTCCATTTACTTCACTGTAAGAATGAGTACAGCTGGCTGTAGGTCTGAAAGCTTCTGGCTGTAGGTATTTGGCAGTTTGTGTGGGTGATGATTGATTTGTGAGCATATGTCTTTCATGTAATTGATAAATACAGTAATTGTGTGTTTAAAAAGCTGTAGCAATGAGTCTGCATTTCTGTGCTGTTGACTTGATGAGTGAGCTTGGAAAAGCAACAATTATTTATCCTTATGTCGCAGCTCTGATTTTCCTTGTAAATATTTAGTTATTTTCATCAGTTTACAGTTTGTATTTATATTTGCACATAGAATCTCAATTGCTTTGCTTTGGAACTTGAAAGAGGTACCAAAGGGTTTGGGTTCAGTGTACGAGGAGGCAAGGAGTACAACATGGGACTGTTCATCCTGCGCCTCGCAGAGGGAGGTCCAGCACTGAGCGATGGCAGAATACAAGTAAGTTGTCATCTGCTCTCTGTGTCATCATCCACATCTGGCTACTGCTCAAGTCACTGGTAACTTGGTGTATCCCCAAGCTTTGGACCACACGTTTGTATCTGAAGATTGAGTCAGAGCCTGACATCCTGCTTTGACGGGCAGAGCATAGACACAGCTGGTCCCGTGTTTGCAGTAGACAACCTTGTCCTTCCTTTTCCTCTCTTCTGTCACATCCAACAGTGGGTATCAGAGCTCCTCAGTAATAGGTGCTGGAGCAGTCAGCACGTCTCAGTGCGAGCAAACCTCAGAAGGAAATGGACAATCTCTAAAGAAGCCTTTCCTGCAAGCGCTGGTGATGTAAGCTTTGTGGCCGGTTGGGATGGAAAGCTGCTCAGCAGGAATTTCTGCCGACAGTCACTCCGCTTCACAGTATAGGCTCTGGAACTCTATCCCCCAGTGCCTCCTCCCTTTCCTCCTTCAAGGCTGGTCTCAAGACCTTTCTCTTTGACCGTGCCTTCAGCTCCCCTCTCGACTCTCTACCCCCTCCTCGCTCCCTCCCTTCCCTCCCCTCACCATTTCCCCCCTGCTCGGGTCCTGACCCAACTGTACAGCGCCTTGGGACGTCCTCCCGACGTCTTGTTGTTGTTGTATATTCTGTGAAGCACTTCGAGACATCTTCCAGGTGCTATATCAAATGCAAGGATCATTATTAGTATTGCATTCATGGCAAAGATCCTGTCAAGTGCTTTGAAGCCGTTTGATAAGATACGGCTCTATATCAAATGCAAGGATTACTTAACGTGTTTACTGGACGGCGAGTTCTGTTAATTAAATGGTTAATATTGATTATTGCTGTCACTGGCTGTTTACCCGAGATTATAAGAAGATTTTTTTGATCATTTGTAGGTTGGTGATCAGATTGTTGAAATTAATGGAGAGTCGACCCAAGGGATAAGCCACAAACGTGCCATTGAGCTAATCCAGGCCGGAGGCAGCAGAGTGCAACTTGTTCTGAAGCCAGGCACAGGTCAGGTGCCCAACCTTGGTGGGTTTTTCTATCAGTGTAATTTAATAAAATGAGATCATGCTAAATATTACTGTAGCACACAAGAGATGGGGCTGGCCAGGAACCTTGACCTTCTCCCCACTGAAAAACCCTTTGAGATTTCATGCTTCAGGTGCGATAATTCCCACATTTTGTGTAGGTCTGGGGACCTTCAGCTCGCACATTTGTCTGCTATTCAGGTTCGTTCCTAGCAGAAATGTAGTCTCTGAAACTTTTCTCATAGTTGCATTTAGTCCTAGGCTCTCCCTCCTCCTCCTCCTTTAGGAATGACACCTTCCAGCCTCTCGACCTGTCTGAGTCACGAGCAGCACTGAGGCTCCTCATCTCCTCTCTCTGGGCTCTCCTCAGGACCTGGTAAATCTGCACGTCTATTACACTTCCAATAGCTTCGTTTTATTTAACCTTTTAAAACTTCACAAGAATTGAATTTCATCTGTGTCTGTCAATCCACTATGGATCTCTCCCTCTCTCTTGTCAATGCTGTTTGTCTGTGAGCAGTGCCAGGTCAGTGTTCCAACACTAAATTCATCACTGAACAATATCCAACATCAACTTTACTTGTATTTTGTTAAATAGAAATTGAAATGAGGAGATTAATTGTATGAAAAACCAAACAGAGAAGGCTCTGCTCATACAATGTGCCTCCCAGCGCAGTGAGTGGGACTCTATATTCATACACTGCCTTCGTCTCTCAATGAAGTGAATGGAGTAAGGCAGAGATATGTGATGTGATTGAAGGAGCTTCTCCTCACATATGGTGATGTTGAAAGGATCTTGGCCACTCTGATTGCGGATGCTTTGAGACCATTCTCTGATCCCCAGTTGGGTAACTGGGATCTTTAACCCTAGCGGGTGGTGGATGCCAGGTGTCTTTGGGATGTCAAACCTGAGTTTAATTGCTTGTTCATTACTGGGGAGCAAAGTAAAAGATGAGGGAATTATTTTGATCTGATGACTCTGCATGATGGCAGAAATTATTGGTAAATGTTGCTCATGTAGTATACAGGATAGTTGTATTCTGTGATGTATATTGCTTTCCTGCACAAAGAAGATGTCAACTGAGTAGAGTTTACAATTTAGGTCCTACCTTCACCATGGTTTAAGTTGCAGTTGGGTGCATTTTTTTTGGTGGATTTTCAGAATCTAACCAGAAGAAAAATGTTTTGTTTCAGACGATTTAGAAACTCTGAGCACTCCATCTTCAAGCTTGCAAGAACTACCCACATCACAGGAGAAGCAGTCAGCAATTTCAGTGCATCTGTCTTCCACGGCCCCGATTCCCCCGGCAGATCCTGAAGAGGTTGATCCTGAAGAGGCTTTTGAAAAAGAACCAAAATTGGTAATGGCAAAGGAACCCAGTGGTGTCCAATCCTGGGACATGGCCAAAGGCAGACTCCGAGCAGCTAGCCCCAGAAACGTTCATGATAAAGATCAATCTGAAGTTGAAAAGGATAAGTTAATCAAACACAAGAAAATTGAATCCAGCACAAAGAAGCAGCTGGATATCTGTGACGGGGAGCCAGCAGCAGTAAAAGACACACTAGCCAGCCCAAGAAGAGCTGACAAAAATACAAAGGAAACTATTCAAGAGGGCTCAGTTAGCCCAAGGAAGACAAATAAGAAAAATAACTGTAAGATGGAAAGGTCTGTAAGTCCAGGTAGGAATGTCTCCAAAGACCTACCAGAAAACAACCAAGATTTGGTTAGTACCAGGATTCATGATCCAACAAGAGGCAGATCAAGCAGTCCCAGGAAGGGGTGCAGGAAGAACACGCACATTGTCCCACAGCAAGATGTGGAAATGAAATCAACAGAAATTGGAGACAAAATATCCAGCTTAACTGTGATAGATAAAACTGGTCATTCTGAAAGGCTGAGAGAGCGATCAATCAGTCCAAGGAAACGTGGATTAAAGCACCAGCATTCCAGCAAGCAACCTCCTGACAGAATAGGAAGAACCACAGAAAACAGAATAGTTGCCTCAAATACAAGCACTGATACTGGAGGGAAGACTAATGAAAGGGAAAAAAATCCCCAGTGTTCTGGGTCACACTTAGAGCTGGACAAAGTGAAGCTATCCAATGACAATGCAGAACATGCTGTGAAGGAAAAGCTCAGCTGTTCAGCAGCAGCGACTGGCAATTGCACCTTTGTCACCAAGAACAAGGGTCTAGAAACAAAAGTAGAAACGATAAAGACTGAAAGGGAGAAAGAAAGAATCACTGATGGAATCCATTCTGACATTCGAGCTGGAGTCAGGAAGACACCAATAACTCCTGGACTTTGGAAGAAACCAGATGCCAATAAGTAGTCTGTAACAGAGCCACAAAATACTTGTAATTGTGTTCAGTTCTCTTTGTAAGCATCTTATTTAAAGTCCTCTAGGTTCACCTGAAGTTGCACTAAGTTTTCCATAAAACATGAAGGATTATTTGGAATATTTCACCTGAGCTGTGAATGTGAACATGGTTTTAGTTTCAGCAGTTTGTGTCACATGAAGAAATTGCATCACCTTTGAGGGTTGTGGGGCTTTGCTCCAGTCCTGTTTTTTTTAAATAGAATTCCTTGTATTTCTCTCATTCTACACTGATTGTTGCTGCTGCTGCTCTGTGTGAGAATTGCAGACTGTAATGGTTAAGTTGTGGAATCTCCTGACCACAGACCATGATCAGAACTGGAATGTTTAGAAACAGAAGCAGTAGTTAATGTGCTTCTCCTGAAGTGTTCATGTAAAACAAGCATCTTTTTATCTGTGATATACTCGTGTAAGTAGCAGAACAGCACAAGCAGCTGTCGGTCTCCCATTGCTGTGCTCATTTGAAATCAACACTATTTCAAGAATTAAAACACTCCATACTTAACCAGGACTGTTGGTCCAGAAAGCTTATATTGTCTAACATAAGAGTAATGAGTGTATTACATATTTCTACTCTAGAATATGCTGATGAATGTGAGATGCATGCTTATGTACAATGCATATAACACACCCCAAAGGCACTTTGTGCAGAAACTTTCTATCTGACCTGTTTGTAGCCCAAGGCTTTTGAAATCAACTGCATTTATAATCTGCATTTTGCTTTCTCCTCGGATAATGCACTCCCCTGATACATTATTGGGATTGGTGTGATATATTGATTAGCTATTTCATTCTGAAACCATTGCAATAAAATATTCAAACAATATCTTCAGTACTCTGCTAAAAAAAATCCATGGAATGGAAATAAAATAAGCTGGTCTTATTGTGCTCTGCCCAATCCTCCAACCTCTACCTCGTCCTGTTGTTCCCTTCCTCTGCTGCCAGGACCATCGCATCCTGAGCTGCACAGAAACAATCAGTTTGGTCAGTTTCTGACGAAAGGTCATAGACCTGAGATGTTAACTAATTTTCTTCTTTCCATAGATGCTGCCTGACCTGCTGCATGTTCCCAATGACTTTTTATTTCAGAACCAATCCATGTCTGGCACCAGTCTAAACACAACAGTGGCTCATAGTTGTGTCTCTATAATGATTGGAAAATTGATGGAAATCTCATTTACAAAATGTTCATGTTTATTGGTTGATTCAGGATTTGCTGCACCCAAGGATCTACTTTATGTGGAGTCCTGTAGCTCAGTGGTTAGAGCACTCGCTTTGAAAGCGAGAGACCTGAGTTCAATTCCAGGCAGGGCAAAACCTTGGGCAAGTTTCCTTACTCCACACAGAGCCTAATAATAATCCCTCCAAAACCAAAAATAATAATAAATTGGTCATTTTCAATCTACAACTGTTTGTGGGTCATTGCTGTGCGCAATTGGCTGCCGTGTTCGCCCACAAATATACAGTTAATTCACTTTACAGTGTGTTCTGTGAAGCGCTTTGGGACGTCCTCCTGACGTGAAAAACGCTATATCAAATGCAAGGATTATTATTATTATTATCTATGGTGAACGAGATCCGAGTTGGTATTTACACACCGGAGCTGCTCCATGGGGGAGGGGCATATTTTTCTCCTACACTTTTGAAGCATTTAACATTTTTCCTATTCTGCTGAGGCACCAGTCAGACTTCAGTGGTAGTTATTAATGATTGAACCTTGACAGTTGAATGTTTTCAGGCAATTTGGCCCCAGGATATCAAAAGCAAACACAAAGCAAACACAATCTCGTCTTCACATGACATCCACATGCTTCTGCAGAGAGTAGCTGACGAGCGATCGGGGGAGCCCAGGTTCAGTTTGTTTTGCCCCTCACTAACCTAGGACACGTGAGTTGAATTGTTGCCCAGAGCAAGATCCAAAAGTCAGAACAGACCAGGATTTGCAGGATGTTTATTAAGTAAGATAATTAAAAGCTGAGTACAATGTTACTGCCATTTCTTAAAAGAGTAAATCTAGTGTTTTCTGTGAATGTTTTTGTATTTGGGATTGGTGAGCATTGAGCTGATTTAACCCTTGCTTGTGGGACTCGCCAGTACAGTGGCTGGTTGTAATAATCAGCAGCTGAAAGGGCCACAAACTTTAATGAATCTGAGATGCTACTGGCTCTATTTCATCCATGAAAAGTGTATTTCCATTATGTCCCTTGTGAATTGTATTTGTAGGAACTCTGCCTGCTCCCATTCTAGTCCAAATATCTTGATTAGGGTGAGCAACAAAGCTGTTTGTGGATCTTGTAATAAATTAGCAAAGACCATTGACAGTATAATGGATTTACTAGATGATCAGCTGTGTTTCTGGACAGAAAGAATTCAGGAAAGTGGTGGAAGTGATCTCCAAAATATAAAAACGATGTATCAGCAATGGCAAAAGTACAGCAGAGGTTTACTAGGATGATATCAGGGTGGCAGGTACTACTGTCAGTCATGACTTCGCTGGGTCACTTTTTGATGACCCCTGTGAGTCATAGGGTGCCCCCCACTGGTAATAGATGCATTTAAGAGGAAGTTAGACCTTCACATCTAGCTAGGGAGAGGGGAATAGAAAGCTGTAGTGGGGAGTAAGCAGTGGGTGAAGACTCATGTGGAGCATAAACACCAGCACGGACTGATTAGGCTGAGTGGCCTGTTTCTGTGCTACACATTCTTTGTAAATATTTGTAAGTGATGTTAGTGGGAGCTGAAATTGATCCAAAGGCTTAAAGTCCTTTTCCTGTTACTTAAAGCTTCTTGTTAAAGTTCTAATCAGAAACAAGCTAATCACATCTAGCTTTGTATTGCAAGAAATGATTTGCATCCCCTGCTCTCCCAGATTCATACACTGGCCACTTGGGTCAGATAGATCCCTGTTCACTTGCCAAGCTACAGCCAAGCTTCTTTCCACCTCGTGGACAACTATGGTTCTGGTTGTGTGTTTAGAGTTATTGTCATTATTGTCCAGTTAATGATTAATACTGACAGATGATTATATTCAACTTTAAATATTAAAGAGCATAAAATAAACTCAAAATTAGTAAGTTTACCTGAGAATCATGATTTGTAATATTTTAAAAAATGTTATACTTGTTCTTGTGCATCTTTCACAATTGTCACTGAACATTTTGACCTTTTTATGGAAAAGGAAACCTTGTGTTAAGTTGTGTACATCTGCTAATAAATGCTGACACAGCGATGTACCCTTTAACCGTTATCATCACAGGATCTCCTTGAAGGACTATATCATCTTCACAGCCTTCACACACTGTCCAGGGAAATCATAGACAGGAGTTCTTGGGCTAGGCAGTGCTAGGGCCTTTGAAGAGGACTTATTTCTATAACTGGATGATTATTTCTGTTGCAAATGATTAAATATGATAATATTTGGTCATTTATGGATTCCTATAATTTATTCTGTACATTACAATGTTCTGTTAATCCGTTTGAAAACAATTTTAAATTTCTATAGCACATTTCATATCAGTAGGACAGCTTGAAGCGCTTCATTACTTTCTGAATGTCCAGGTGGCTGTACTTGAGTAAATGTTGGAACTACCAAGGTACAGTTGATGTTCAAAATCCTATTCCATCACTTTGGTTATGTAACTGGCCTCCTGAGACCGACCGTACAGTATATCGTGGGCAAGTGGCCTTTTCACATGGTTACAAAATGAATCAATCTTGAGGATGTAAATGTTTCTACTGTACAATCCCTTTATAAATACTCAGTGGAGAAAGATCTGTAAATTCAATCATTATTTTTTTATGTATCACATGGCATTCAACTGTTGCACTGTAAAATAAACCTTACTTTGAATCTATGCAGTCACCATTAATGTTTCTTTGTAAATTAATGATGCAGTCCAGATCTGTATCAATAAATGTATGATATTGAGTGACTACATATCAAAACAAACCTGTTAAAATGTCAATTGTTCCAAATTATTATCAAATGGGACATACCAGCAGCAGTGGAAGTTTGGGAAATATTTTAATTGATAAACTTTAGGGGACCAGCCAAGGACTGGTGACGACAGAAGCTGAGCATCCATAGCCCAGGTCAGGTCAGGGAGTTCCAACCTTTGGGCCGCTCGGCTGCATTCCCTATCTGGGAAAGGTCCACAAGCCGCATAAATCAGCGTGGTCCAACTGGCACCTTATACCTACCCTCCAAATGGGGGATGGAGAAGAGTGTGAGTGGAAGAGGGTGCGAATGTGTGAGAGAGAATGGGATGGGGGTGGAGGGAGTGTGATTTAGAGAGTGTTTAGTGTGTATCTGAGACGAGAGAATGTGTGCCAGAGACGACGTTAGAGAGAGCGCGTCCCTTTGCTCTCTCTCCCCTCTCTCAATCCCTTTCTCTCACCCTCTCTCAAATCAGCCGCGCTGGTCACTCTCTGCAGCCGCAGGACTAAGTTGCTGAGGACGCGGTTGCCTTCCTGACAGACTGCAGTAAAGCCGCTGCCCTGGGAGGGAGGAAGCGGAAGTTGGAAATGGTCGTGGGACGGACAAAACTACCCGCCGGTCCCGAGGCGGCCCGCGGGCCGCCAATTGGACCACGCTCCTTATGACCCCGGATTCCCTCCCCATGAGGTTAGACATTAACAAGTCACTTCCGCCTCACTCAAGATGGCGCCGCCGCTGCTCCACGGACTGACGCTGACGCGTTTCCGCTTAAGCGGCCACGACCACTTCCGTCTCCGCCCCCGCAGAAGATGGCGCAGATCGGCCTGATCCGCCTGAAGGAGCCGCGGCCTCGGTCTCCGGCCCTGAACTCTCCCGTCCCGGAACCACCCGTCCCGGCCGCCAAGAGGCGCAAAACCCGGCACCAGCGCGAGCCCGAGAGGAGGAGCGGCCATTCCCCGCCGCCCGCCTTGTACTCGCTCAGCCCGGCCCCGCCCCCCGACGTCTCCATCTCCCGGGTAAAGGCCCCGCGGGACCAGGACAGGAAACCCCGGGACAGACAGGAGAAGAGCGTCCGCCGCCCCGGCACAGGTACAGGAGCCCGGGGTCCAGGAGAAGCCGTGTGTTGGCCATGTTGGAGCCACCTCCACCCACAGGCCTCGGACCCCCCGCCTGAGGCAGTGACAGTGACATGAAGAGCTGAGTTGGGAAGATCCCAAACCCACATTCAGCTCCCGATTGTTCCCAACTGTTGCCCGGACCCTGAGGTTAGATTGACAAACACCTGCGGGTTAGTGTCAGCTCTCATTAATGCACAGTGACGGCGGTCTCTGGCTTTGGTGGATCTTCTCATTTATCCTCGGATTGTGACCAGGGTTTTAAGAGTTGCTAAAGTTTAAAAACCTGCTGTTGCCAATAATTCTATGTCAATGTATGAGATGAATGGAATGTGTGGCAATATCGTACATTAAACAAATGTTAGGTTTTAGTTTTAGGATTATTGGTACATTTGAAGGGATTTTTCCGGGGGGGGGGAATTGGGGTTTAGAGCTAAAATGGCTCCGAGATGACATGCCTGGCAACGGAATGTCAGAATCGAGCCGTCCCGCTGGGTCAGTCTCTAGTCCGGTTCCTGAGCCAGGCGGGTCCGCAGCATTCCAGGACAGCGCTTATTGACAGCATAGCCTGGCTCATCGGTAGGAGCTGGAAGGGCAGATGAGTCAATGTGGGCAGGGACGGTTCCCACTCAACTCTTATTAACACTGCAAGCCAAAGCCTCAACAAATAGGATGGTCCTAGCTAGACAAGCTGTGGGAGTCTAACCAGCTAAAACTGCAGAGAGTGTACTCTCACTGCAGTTTTAGCTGGTTAGACTCCAGCAGTATGCCAACGCACACTGGGGTCCCCAAGCCCTGTCTCTTGCCAACCTGCACCTAATATTTTCCAGAATTAGGTAAGCAGGATGTGTCCCTCCAATGAGAGTGCTCATTCCAACAATCTCTGGAATTTCCATGTGTATGTGAATTCTCAGTTTGGGTGGAAACTTTTGGGTTTCTTCTGCATACAATGAGATGGTAAACTCAAGAGAATAGTGTGGAATGGCATTTTTGTATCTCCAAATAATGGTCCAAGATTAAAGCGCTCCAAAACACTACCCACATGAAAGGCGCTATATAAATGCAAGTTGTTGTTGCCCATTAGGAAACTGCATTGTGATGAGATATATGTTCAAACAATATATATCATCTTCAGGTGATAATGTAAAATGCTTATCTCAGATTTACACCTAACCCAACCTCTCTCAAACTTTAGAAATCCTTCTTACTCACTCTTACCCAGGCCCAAGTTAGCAAGCAGAGGGCACAAACATAGAAATGGAATAGGACAAGATCACAGAGCTAGGGCAGTGCTAACAACAAACAAAATTAGATTTGTATAGCGCCTTTCACGTCAGGACGTCGTCCCAAGACGGTAGAGCACGAGGGGATATATACGTGAGGTTGAAGACCTTGAAGTTGATCTGTTGGTAGACAGCAGAGCCTGGTGAGGGCTGGGGTGATAGACATGTGGTATTTGGTGATGGGAAGAATGCAGGCGCTGGAGTTTATGTTGGTTCATCTGTGGAGACTTGTGAGGAGCACATTTGAAAAGTTTAGCCAGGCGGTACAAATGTGTGAATCAGTGTTTGGTAGCATTTGGTGTGAGATGGGTAGTGGTGCGCAGTGTGGCAGAGGTAAGAAAAAAGCCATCGTGGTCAGGGACCAAATGTGAGGGAAAAAGAGAGAGCTGTGAATCGGATTGGAAGACAAGGTTACGAACTGGTTCAGTGAGTATGAAAGAGAGTTCAGGGAGGTTGAGTAGGTCAGAGCTGTAGAAGATGGCTTTTGTCTTGTAAACATTGAGCTGCAAGAATTAAACTCATTCAGGTATTGATTTCTGTCAGCCAAGCTGATAGAACATCACTGGACTCCAGAATTGAGAGTAGGAGGAGTAGATTTGGATGTTATCTGTTAATCATGTTAATCCTGTTTTTACGGATACCAATAGTTTTATTTTTCTGGTCATTTACAGGTGGTGCAGATGAAAATGGGAAAAGTCGGAAATCTAATGAATACTTGAGCAAAAAAATGAAGAAGAAAAAGAAAAAGAAAGATCGTGATTGTCCAAGAATGAGGCGATTGAAAGTGTATAATAAGGAGGTGCAAACAGCATGTACTGCGATGACCCATGTCCATCTGGACACTCGGGAACCAGGCTCTTCTGTTCCCACAATGAAAATTGATAAAGAATGGATTCAGCCTCATGACCAGCCTAGCAGGCTGGATATGGAAAGGAATGATTGCAGACTTCCTTCAGGTGCGCAGTTACCATTCTTATCACACAGAGATCACTGTGTACGTAAGGGACTTGTGCGGACAGGCTCCTCTACATTTGCTCGCTTTATACATGTGGACCACCAGCCGAATGGCGGAGCTCCTGTGCTCCATGCCTACATGGATGAACTCTCTCTTTTGCCTCCTGTGGAGGTGGAGAAGTTTGCTGAGGAATTTCTTACATTGACTTTTAGTGAAAATGAGAAAAATGCAGCCAATTACGTGATGGCAGTTGTTCACGGAGCAGCAGCCTATTTACCAGATTTTCTGGATTATTTTGCTTTTAACTTTCCTAATACTCCAGTGAAAATGGAAATACTGGGAAAGAAAGACATTGAAACTACAACCATCTCAAACTTTCACACTCAGGTAGGATTTGATACTCTCTTATTTTTGTAGTTTTTGAGAAAAATTGTGAGAAAAAAAAAGTTCTTGGCCTTTGCAATACAATTATGGCTGTGGGGTCTGAAGCTTCCTCTTCTGCTTATTATTCCCTCATTATAGTTGTTCAAAATCCTCGTTCTCATCTTCAAAGCTCTCCACTTCCTTGCTCCTTCCTACCTCTGTGACGCACTAACACCATATCGACCTGTCCGCTCCCTCCGCTCAGCAGGCTCTGGGCTGCTCCATGTCCCCGCACGGCCCGCCTCACCATCGGCGGTTGGGCCTTCAGTTTCTCTGCCCCCACCCTTTGGAACTCCGTAACACATACCTCTCTACCTCCCCTGCCATCTCAAGACCCTCCCCTTCGACTGCGCCATCTGCCACCCTCCTACCCCTACACTCCCTAGCCTCCACCCTCCCTGCCCTCCATCGCTCCTGATCCCAACCCCCAGCTCGCGTCCAAATCCCTGACTATCCAGCGCCTTGGGACATCCTCCCAACGTGAAAGGCGCCGTGTAAATGTAATTTATTGTTGTTATGCAGCAATTATTCAGTATAAAAAAATAAATTCACTCTTCCTCAAGTCCAATAGAAAATGCCTCGTGTTCAGACACCAGCTGCTTCATATTTTTTCCTTGATAATTGTTGCCATTTTTAGAAACTTAATTAACTTAACTGCCACCTCTAATGTAATCTCCAGGTTTCACGGACATATTGCTGTGGCACATATAGAGCAGGTCCCCTGAGGCAGGTCAGTCTGGTAGGAGCTGTGGACGAAGAGGTTGGAGATTTTTTCCCAGAATTTCTTGATCTGTTGGAAGAATCCCCATTTTTGAAAGTAAGTGAAAGGCCTGGGATGTTTTTGTCATGTAAGTGTGTTTTCCTTTACATTCTAAAGGTTTATAATCTGGAACTGAATGATGTTTGTTTTCCCCCAAAATCTGCTGACACTGTCTGCTCATATAGGCTTTTATTCTGCTGGGGATAAAGTAGTTGTGAACTGAGCTTATAATTTGAAATTGCTGTATATGCAAATAATGGTTAATTACTTAACTTAATGACAAATTGTGATTGTCATTAAGATCGTGCTACTTTCAAGTTGCTGGTCTGAATATGTCAGACTGAAGTGTTGCTGCATTGCAAACCTCTTGTCACATTTACATTGCGCCTCAGGTATAAGTGCTGCAAATGATGGCTGTGTTTACCCAAGTGACTAGATGTTGTTGTGTAAGTATCATGATGACATCAGACTGCCATGCATAATAATAATCCTTGCACTTGATATAGTGCTCTTCACGTTGGGAGGACGTCCCAAAGCTCTTCACAGAACACACGGTAAAGTGAATTGACTGTATATTTGTAGGCGAACGCGGCAGCCAATTGCGCACAGCAATGTCCCACAAACAGTCGTAGATTGAAAATGACCAATTTTTTTTATTGTTTTTGGTTTTGGAGGGATTATTATTAGGTGTGCGGAGTAAGGAAACTTGCCCAAGGTTTCGCCCTGACCTGCCTGGAATTGAACTCAGGTCTCTCGCTTGCAAAGCGAGTGCTCTAACCACTGAGCTACAGGACTCCACATAATGCTATTAGAAATTTGTCTTGTGATCGAGTCTACCCAAAAAACAAAAGCCAAGATCGCAAAAAAAAATCCTGTTTTTTTGGGCAGGTGCTAAAGTTGGCTGATGTTGCCAACACAGGTGCATACATAGAATATTTTCTAATCGGAGCAAAGCTGGGCAGCAACGATTTCTACTAAACTTACTCTACTTTGAAGGGCGGGCTGGCGGTCACTGAGAATCTTTCAGACGTTTTTCCAGGGCCTCCTTGAAGTGTAGTTGGCTCCATGGGGACAAGCTTGGCAACAGAGTGTTGGAATCAAGTCAACCCTCTGCAGTCTTTGAGGTCTCTTTAATCTAGATGGGTCTTCAGTATTCCAAGGTATCACTGATGATAGACTAGCCAGCCTGACTTGTCAACAGTGCTTGGAGGGGCAGACTTGTCACTGGGGACATGGATTCCTGTGGAGTCCTGTAGCTCAGTGGTTAGAGCACTCGCTTTGCAAGCGAGAGACCCGAGTTCAATTCCAGGCAGGGCGAAACCTTGGGCAAGTTTCCTTACTCCACACAGAGCCTAATAATAATCCCTCTAAAATCAAAAACAATAATAAATTGGTCATTTACAATCTACGACTGTTTGTGGGACATTGCTGTGCGCAATTGGCTGCCGCGTTCGCCCACAAATATACAGTCAATTCACTTTACAGTGTGTTCTGTGAAGTGCTTTGGGACGTCCTCCCGAGTGAAAAGCGCTATATCAAATGCAAGGATTATTATTATTATTTCCACTGACTTTTGGTAACCCTTCAAGCTAAACCTCCAATGCTAGGGTGATTCTAGCTAAACACTCAGTAGGAAGTTTTTGCTTTCAATGACAAAATTTATGATTAGCTGATTAAACTCTAGCAGTTCCTCAACATACACTCTGTGGTCCCCAAGTTTTGGCTCTTGCCAAACTGCATCTAAAATTCCTTCCAGGGAGAGAGCACTCAATCCATTTCCAGGCATGAAAATTCATTGCATAGGTGATAATAATAATCCTTGCATTTGATATAGTGCCTAATCACGTCTTCGAAGCGTCTCAAAGTGCCTCTCAGAATATAATGTAAAGGGAATTCATTGTGGGTGAATAAACAATGTGGATACTCTTCAGCATGGATTTCCACATGTGTCAAGACACCTGACTAATGAAAAGAAAAATCACCAAGTGGAGTCTTCAGAAATTTAGCCCCAGAAAATTGTCCATTTTACATTGAGATATTTCTAGAGACAGTGCTTACCTCAGGAGGAAAACTTTAATATAAAAGATAAATGTGTGGCATTGCCTTCAGCAGGTAAACATACAGCCAGGGCTACGATACAGCAGGTAAACATAACGCAAAGACTACAGTACAGCAGGTAAACGTACAGCAGCGACACACAAGGAAATATACTACACGATACACCCTTTGAGTTCTTGGTTGATTTCAGTACCATTTTTTTTAATCAGATGACATTGCCGTGGGGAACTCTATCCAATCTTAAACTTCAGTGCCGGTCACAGAGCGACGATGGCCCAATAATGTGGGTTCGGCCAGGGGAGCAGATGATTCCTACAGCAGATATGCCAAAGTCCCCTTTCAAGAGACGAAGGTAGGAAGGTGTTGCTTTATTATTATTATACTATATCAAATAGTTTTATGCATGAGCTGTAGGGAACCTATTAATACCTGTTTGGTGTTCACTTGGCCCGGTTGGTTGCATTCTTACCTCAGCCTGAGGGTTGTGGATACAAGCCTCACTTTGGGACTTGGTCCAGGTTGACTTTCCAGTGTAGTATTTGGGTCCTGTTTTGTTGAAGGTGAATCCTTCAGATGAGACGTTAAATCGACATCCTGCCTTCCTTTTCAGGTAGATATTATAGATCCCCTGACACTATTCAGAGACAAATTTTTCCTGGATTCCTGGCCAATAATCCTCCGCATAAATTGGTCATTGACCTTGTGGCTTGTAGACCTCGACGTTTCCAAATTATTTCACGTTTCCCTACAAATACATCATCTCTACATGATGGCTGTTACCTGTGATTTTGACATTATTAGCACTGTACCAAATGCAAGTGTTTTATTACAAATGTTTTGTTCTTTTGTAGGTCAATGAATGAAATTAAGAACTTGCAGTATCTGCCTCGAGCCAGTGAACCTCGGGAAATCCTGTTTGAGGACAGGACGCGAGCTCATGCAGACCACGTGGGGCAGGGCTTTGATTGGCAGAGCACAGCGGCCGTCGGTGTTCTGAAGGCCATCCAATATGGAGAATGGTAGGAAACTGAAGGCCACTAACAGAGTCAGAAGGGGTGATGAAAAAGCAAAGACCAGGGGAGCAGAAAGTTTGAGCAAAAGCATTTAGCTGGCAGAGATTGAAGGATGAGACCGTTAAATCTGGAATTGAATTGCTGATCCTTCATTCCTAATTCTCATTTTCTGCAATTATTAAATGTTAATCTGAGATTTGTCACAGCAAAATAATATGGCAAACATACAACTAGTGTGTGTTTTTATATAAACTCATAGTTGTATTTTAAAAATGGCCTATTTTACAGGTGTGTTGTAATCATTGTAGGATCTTAATGTGGTATACATAATTCAATCTTGTTTAATCTATCCATAAGATTGAAAAACATTCATTTGTTTAATCTTTCTTTATGATTGGTGACATCTCTGGTTTCTCTCTGCCTTATAAATGCTGGGAGACAACAACAACAAATTACATTTACTTTCACATCAGGAGGACGTCCTGTGGTGGTAGACAGTCAAGGATTAGGACCCGAGCTGGGGGTTGGGATTAATTAATTCAAACTTCAAAACTCCGCTGCCTGTACCTCAGCCACACCAGACTTCCATCACCCCATCCTTGCCAAGCTCCACTGTCTCCCTCTGGCAGAACTCACTCTTGTAATTGTTAAGCTCTGAGACACTACCACGCGTGAAGGACACTGTATTTTTTTATGTGTGTATATATATATATATATATGAAAGCTGTTTTTGACAATTGATTGGATTTGGGGCTGATTTTTTTTTGCTGATCAGAACTGGGATTCATTTATTGCCTATATTTTCCGCATTAGTTTTTGGAATGTTTTACATTCTCTAGCAATCCATTTCACTAGATGCCAGAGCCTCAGCACCTCAGGTTCTGGCAACATCAACCTCCATGGTTGCACACTACAACTCACCAAGCCAGTCAGGAACCTAGGTATTGTTCAACCCTCAACTGTCTTTTCTCCCCCACATTCAAGCCATGACCCGCTCTGCCTTCCCTCACCTCTATAACGTCACCCGACTCTGCCACTACCTAATCCCTCAGGCCGCTGAAACTCTTGTTCATGCCTTCATCACCTCCAGGCTCGACTATGCAAACGCCTGCGTGTCGGCCTTCCCAACTCGTCCCTCCACACCCTGCAGATAATCCAGAACTCTGCAGCCCGTGTCCTCTCCCGAAACCAAACTCCATGACCCCATCTCCCCCACTCTCGCCCGACTCCAGTGACTCCCTATCCTTCAGAGGATCCAGTTCAACATCCTGGTCCTCACATACAAAGCCCTCCATGGCTTCACCCCACCCTACCTCTGTGACCTCCTAACCCCCTAAAAACCCGCCCGTTCCCTCCCCTCAGCCGGCTCCGGCCTGCTCCATGTCCCCCGACCCACCCACCCCACCATTGGCGGGAGAGCCTTCAGCCACTCTGCCCCCAACCTCTGGAATTCATCCCCCAGTCACTCTGCCTCTCCCCCTCCTTAGCCTCCTTCAAGTCCCGCCTCAAGACCCTCCTCTTCAACCATGCCATCGGCCACCCCCCTTCCCCTCCCCTCCTTTACCCCCCCCCCCCCCAACCCCAGCTCGGGTCTGAAATGATGTACTCTGTCCAGCGCCTTGGAACGTCCTCCCAACGTGAAAGGCGCTATACAAATGTAATCTTGTTGTTGTTAGTTGCTTCTTTGACTAGGTTGGATAATACGGAGGTGTAATATTCTATTTATGAATAGGAAATTAAACCACATTAATTACCGAAATACCTGTTGATTAATTATTGCAGCACAGATGGTAAGGAAACTTTATGATTGACAATCTCAAGTTGTAGAATTTTAACTTCTGCTGTATCTGTGCATCCCTTATGTGCTGTAAACTTTCATTTTTCTTTCCAGGAGCGATCGACTTCGTGTAACTAAAGATGTGGTTTGTTTTCATGCTGAGGATTTCACTGATGTTGTACAGAGATTGCAGTTAGATCTACACGAGCCACCAGTCTCACAGGTATTTTGTTTAGAGTAACCATTGACCTCGCAGGAGAAGATGATCCTAGCATTTGATATAGTGTCTATAACATCTTAAATAGCAGTCCACTATAGTGACTGCATTCTCTACCAGATGCGGCAGCCAATTTGTAAATAGCAATGTCCAACAAACAGCTATGAAGTGAATGACAAATTTATTTGAGACTTGTTTGCCATAACACAAGAACCTGCTCTCTTTTCAAATCGAGTCTTGAACAGGCTCGTAGGACCTTGAGTTGATACCTCATTGGAAGGACAAGCCAACATGCTCTACACTGAAGTGTCAGCTCACTGTGAGCTCTGTCAGGCTGTTCCTGTAATTAGGTTTGGGGATTATTGGGGATGCTGTTCTGAGTTTGGTGTGGAGGCGAACCTAGAATACTTATCCTTTCTTAATTTTAAGATGAAACTACTAGCAATGAATGCTGTCTTATCTCCAATGTACGCTGGAGGACACTTGCTCTCTAGGGGCAAATATAGCTCAATGGGCCTAACGACTTAATCTGGTTCTTCAGACCATGTGAGAAATTTTCCAAAGCTTCTGTAGTGTCCGACCTCCATTGGAGGCAAAACCAGAAATGTTTAATGTGATTACACAATTTCTCTAATACAGACCCCATTTCTACATTTCCCACTGTTTCTCCCAATATTATGCCCAGGCACTTTTCAGGCATTCTATGTTTAGCAGAGCTGCGTTGTCTGGACTATTATACAGTTTTATACTCATCTTTGTGGCTGGGAGGTGATCTCATGTTGGAGATTTTAGAATCAAAGACATTTGCAGCAGAGCAGGCCATTCAGCACATTGTCTATGTTGGCTCTATCAAAGCAATCCAGTCCGTCACTTTAATCCCTGCAGATTAAACCTTTTTAAATGTGCATTTAATTCCTACTTGAAGGATAGTCTGTTTTGTTTCCTCGACCAAAACACCCAGCAGGATATTCTACTTAATACCTCAGTGTAAAAAAACAAAACAAAATCTTCCTAAATCACCCTCTTTGATCCTTTGCTAATTATTTTAAAATAGGATATTTACTGATTTTAAAGAAGTGGTCAGTGTGGAGGGATAGCTAGGAAACTGTGGCTAGGATCCCAGGGATACCCCTCGTGCAGGAGTTTCACTAATCTGCAGCAATAGAAAAAGATGAGAATGTGGGATCAACACTTAAGGTTTTCTGTTCAAAGGATATTTGAGGGGTATTTTGTGGTTATAGTTTTACAGGAAAACTGATATTTCATCCCTTTCCTTTCAGTGTGTTCAGTGGGTGGATGAAGCAAAACTAAACCAGTTGAGACGGGAGGGGATCCGCTATGCCAGGATCCAGCTATCAGACAATGATATCTACTTTATTCCTCGAAATGTTATTCACCAGTTCAAAACTGTGTCTGCTGTGTGCAGCTTAGCTTGGCACATACGCCTGAAACGGTATCACCCAGAGCAACCAAATCCAATCCCAAACCCACCCTCTGGCAGCACCACTGCAGGGACTGAGGTGGAAACTGATGTGACGATGGAGCCTGAAGTTGAGACAGGCACCATTAATGCAGGAACAGGATCGCAGGACCCACAGTGATCTGTAAATCCTCAACTTTTTTAAATAAATATTTTTTTTTAAACAGGGATGTGAAGTTTTAGTTTTGTAAATTGGTCGGGATTGAGATTTCAGTGAAAAAATTGCAAAGTTCAGTATGTTTTTGATATCTTAACACCTGCAAAAAATTGTTGCTCATTTATGGGTAGGAATGAGTTTGTGTATTTGACCCTCCAGCAAATGTGCTGAAATTGTAAATCCCCAAATCCTGAGATTTAGTGAGTAAACTAGCATAGAATTCTAGTAACCAACACTTACAGTGCACCAAAGGTCGTCATTTCACAGTGGACTATTTAATAGAAAAAGATTGAGGGGGTTTTCTGCCACTTTGAACTCAACATTTATTAGATTTAAATACAAAGTTCTACTTTTGTGGACAACATAGTATATAAAGACACAATGATAGCATCAAAAAATTTACAAAGTCCATTATCTTGGTATTTATTTCCATAAAATGAAATTTGGTGTACTGCAGATAATCTAATTTGTTTAAACAAAAGCATTTCCAGTGATCAAATGGACATTTCGTGAATGAACGAATATAAATATATAGCAAGTGGCTCCTAAGGTTGAATCAATAAAAACATCACTGACAATGGAATAAGCACATGAGACGATAAAACATTAAGGATATTTCTTTTGGAAAGTGGTATTAATAAAATACGTGACTTAAAATTCAATTCTGATAGCACAGACACAATGAGCTGGGACTTTCTGTGATGTAAAATATTGCAGGTGTTTCGTACCCATTCCTCATGTTACTGAGTGCAAGCAACATTACAAACCTGCAAAGTTGTTTCTATTCATTGATAAAAAGCCACCAGTCTGTACCTGACCTTCTCAATCACTTACTAAAAAAACATAACTGACTTTATGTTATCAGTTTCCTGATGATTTAACTCCGAATAAGAAGTTTTACCTAAGACTCCCTGACTCGAGTAGCGCTAGTAATGGTATTTAATTAACACAAAGAATGGGGTAAGAAATACACATTTTACCCCAATGTTGAACTTTCCACACTGAAATGCTGCAAATAACCAATTTTGAGGCAATTAATGAATAGTAGACTGGGCATTGAACATTCTCTCTCCTACTTAAATCATCTCTCATCTCTTGTTCGATGCTGAACTGTCCCAGAAGTTTGTTTATTCAGAATAGGTTGGGGTCACGGAGATCGTAACACTTGTGCTGGTGCCTCCTTTAGGAAGGAGGGAAACCATGGCACAAGGAAAGCTTTGCACTTGTATCCTGGATACATTACCTGCCTCGTTACCATAGAATCCATAAATGTTACAGCACAGAAAAAAGGATGTGTGAAGGAGCTCCAGGCAGAACCACTACCTTACCCTCCTACTGAAATGGTTCATTTGAATTAAGTGACTGACAAGACATTAGAAATAGATTCTCATACATTTTTTTTACCAAAGTGGTTTTCATTTCAAGTAAGAAATCAAATATTTGAACTTTTGGAGAGGTCTAAATTGAACAGTGATGAAATCAGTCTCCAATGGCAGTAGAGATAGCATTAGGGAGTGAATGTTACTGTGTCTGTAACTCAATAATCCCAGCCAGATTCTGTGACACATTTCCCACCTGGTGTGAATCCACTACTTCTAGAGAAAGAATTTTAATGTTAGATTAAAACTTGAAATAACTCACTGGAATCGATACTCAAAAGTTTGAAAGTTTTTTTGCATTTGAACTTTAGATGTTGCAATGACATTTGATCCAGTCCTAAGTAGAAAATTGCATCTTTTACACACTGATATTTATATTCTCAATACAAGGGTCTTATTGCTCCGATTCGCACACACTTGCTGAGATATGGGTCCTTGATGTCCGGTCATTTTAAGCAGAACAATGATATAAAAACAATTTAGATTAACAAAGGTTACATCTCAGTATCCCGTGGTAGTTTTATTCAGAAAATAAACTTATCTCTGTGATTGAAACGTAACGTTATCCTGAAGCTGGTAACAGCTACGGATTGTAACTGATCAGATGGAATTGCAGATGATTGGTGGAACTTTAATTTGACCATTAGTTGAAAACTGTTTCTCAGGCATTCTATATTTTTATTCATTTTAATGTATTTGTAATATTTTATAGTTTTTTTTAAAAAACACAAAGATTGCTTAAATTTTCATAGATCTGTACCTAGAAAAGGTTGTCTTCAGGTTACTCTTTAGATTGTTTTTTTCTCCAGTAGTGAGTACAATTAAAATGCTTATTTACTTTATTTTTTAATATTTCTATCTAGTAGCGTTACTCTCTCAGAGGGTGTTGTACAGGTATTTTTGATATTTCTGTTATATAATTGCTCTGCTCACTAATGTGCACTTTTCAAACAATCAGCATGCTTCAACCATTATCATCTCCTTAAATTTCCTTAATTTCTCAAAAGTGACATACCCACTCTAATCCTTACCCTACCTCTAATTGGCAAACATCCAGTATCTGGCCAGACATAGAGTACGTAGAGATTTTTTGCAATTGATCTGGTTCTGCCTGAGAGCTTATTTGAGTATTGAATATTTAAAATGGTCATTCATAGCTATTCTGAATATTAGACATGGGATCTAAGAAAGTTATTCTCAATAAATTGAGAAGTTTAAGTTTATGTTGAATGCTTTTGCAAACCTCAGATGATTCCATTTTACTTGCCCTCTGTTGAAGTTGACATTTTGCATCCAGCTTAGACCTCTGTTCTTCGACCTCTGATTCTATCACTTTACTAAAGGAAAAATTATGGTAGCTTCCTGTAATGAGTATGGCAAATATTGTCCTGTCAAAGTACTTACCCAAGTGCTCTGAACCAAGCCAATCTGCCATTGTGTTATTCCTGAGAACCTTGCCTGTATTGATAATGTAATAATGCTATCTGCCTGAAAAGCAGTTTGATTTACACAGCCTTAGTTCAAGTCGCAAATTCTAGAAGTCATGTCTCATTGAAGTTTATAACTTTTTAGTGATCTTATCAAATGGTATATTTGAAATAGCTAAATAAACCTCTTCATGATATTAAACCTTTGCAAAGTGAAATTCTTTTATCATAATTTGAAGCATGTTTTAATGTATAAAATGTTCCTTTGTAAAAAAATTAATGGCAAAGAATGACATTTCTGTGAAATATTTTTTTAAATAAACTGGCAAAATTGACATTTTCTTGTCTTGTAGTTCCAGATGTGAAAGTTCAGGATGGCCAAAGGCACGGTTGAAGAGAAGGGTCTTGAGACGGGTCTTGAAGGAAACTAGGAAAAATTATGGTAGCTTCCTGTAATGAATATGGTAAAATACTGTCCTGTCAAAGTACTGACCCACCATGTACCACTAGGGAGGGGGCAAGGCAGAGGAACTGTGGGATGGAGTTCCAGAGGGTGGGGGACAGACAGTGCCCCAACCCCTTCCAGCGAGAGAGTATGCTTTCCATGACAGATGAGGGCAAATTTCCATGTAGCAAACATGTGGCATGCTTACCAAAATTTTACTGAAGTGGGATCTGAATGATGTTTACATTCAAAGGTCCTTACCATTACTATTCAATTGGTTTAATTAGCATAAAAATGTGAACAATCTGTTGGCATTTCTCACAAGGTAAATTATGATTTATGAAGTAAAATGCTGCCTCATAAATTTAAAGCTCATAATTGCAAACAAAGAAAGTAACTGAAAATAACTCAGGATTCATAAATCAGGATGTTGGTGTCATTACATTTCCGCAAGAGTGAAAGAAAAGTGAATTTAATTGACTATTTTAGATCCAGTCTGAAGGTGGATTCCTCGGTCCTTTGGGCTTTGTGAAGCGATTCTTGAATCCTTAAATAAATTAAAAAAATGTTGCACTAAAAAAGTTGACCATTATGGGTGTATAGCATCATGTGGGGTTTCCAATGAACCCTATCAGCATATGCGATTTAATACAATTAAATTAAATTTAGCGGAAGAAACATTAGAAGAGGGGCTCTCTTTGTTAGCTGCTGTCTGTCTCTGTGTCTCTATTGGGCTTGAACCCACTCTGTGTGTTGGTGAGATCTCGCCTCCTCAAGCTGCTCAAGTACAATTGTGAACTTTATGTGCACAAATATAGATTTTCCCCTACATAACTTTTGCAATTGAGCCCCTTTGCAGATAACAGAAAATGCAGTTATCCATCATAGTAGTAAGCACATTTTCTACTGCATAGCTAAAGGTGTAATGTATAAGTCAAGACAGATGATTTTATAATTGTATGCGGCCTTCATGAGATCACATCTGGAGCACCACACACAATTTTGTTTTCCCCATTTCAAAAATTATTTTGTTAAAAATGTGGTAGTGGGAACTTGGAAGAATTATCAGAAAAGGTTGCACACACACAGAAACACACAAACCATACACACACAAACTTATCTGTTGAACAAAGATTCATGGAATGCTTAATGGAGCTGTTAAAAATGATGAAGCGTTTGGAAAAATTAAATTCTTGTTTGTTAAAAATTACTGGGGAGGCATATAACTTAAAATATGAATAACATAAGAGAATAGGAAGTGCAGCAGAAAGATTTTCTTTAGTAAAAAGAATAATAAAATAATCCTTGCATTTGATAGGCATGTGGAGGAGACTTTTATCAGTGCAGGTAATGGAACTGGAAACTAAAGTGTTTCACAAACAAGTTCATGTTAGATTTTTGTCCTGTCAAATAAAAGCATTGTTAGATTTTAAGATGGGTATATATTGAAGGAATCTTTCAGGAAGTAGAAAAGGTAGCTAACTTGATTAATGGTCTATTTTCTATCTGAAATCGTTCTCTCCATTTAGATTGATTCTGTGGCTCCCAAACAACAGTCTTTATTATACAAACAACATTCTGACTCTGTTCAACAGGGTTTACCACAAGCCTGTAGAATGCAATCTACTGGTTGGACATACAGAAGGCATGTGTATAATGTTTATGGGTATGATGAGTCATACACTTACCAAAGTTTAAAAAGGAGCGTGCATGTTCAGCAGTTCGTTCAATCTCTGGTGCCCTGGACACTCCTGGTTCAGAACCTGCAGCTGCTAATCATAGAACCATAGAATTTTACAGTCCATCTGTGCCAGTTCTTTGAAAGAGCCACTAACTAGTCCCACTCCCTCACTTTTACCCCATGCAGCTCTGCAAATGTTTCCTTTTTAAGGACCTGTCTAATTCCTTTTTGAAAGCTATTATCGAATCTGCTTCCACCACCCTTTCAGGCAGTGCATTCCAGACTCTGTAATGTAAATGAAAGTTAGAAAGGTGCATTCACTGGCAGATACTGAGAATGTGGTCTTGATTTACTCCAGGTCAAGTTACGCACAATGAGATTCCGATTCACTCTAGTTGCATGTTACAAGGATGTTTTGGATGTTTCGGAAAAGACTGTTTACATGGGAATTAAGGCTGAGGCGAGATAAAGTACAGGAAGAGGCCATTTGGTAGGTCGCTATTTTATGGGACTGTAGCAAATCTTTTAACCTAATTTATTTAAGTTCATTAATATTAATTACTCTGTAACCTAATTTCCTGCCTTTTCTCTATATTCCTTTTCAAGTATCTATTTATTTTCCTTTTAAACATCCCATTGATTCAGGAGTAAATTCCATATTCAGTTTTTCATGTGAATGTCACTTAGCTCTGATTCCGCCCTTTTTTAATCCTCCAACAGATGGTTTTCTATCTTATTATTTTAATCATCTTAAGGTTTTCCGCAGTAAGATGTTTCTGAATGTTATGAATACAATGATATTTCAGCATATTTTAGACTTACGTTTCTTCTTAATTCGTAGAATTTTCATACTCTGTAAAAACAAAGTGCGAATTACATCCTCATGTCCACAAACAGCAGCTGTAGCTTTCCTGATGATCACTTGCATTTATAGAGCGCTGTCACGCAGGGTAGCATCCGGGAGTGCTTCCCTGATTACACATTCACATGGCACCAATCATTCACCACTAAACAGGAAGGAGTGAAAGTGACACCTGCTGGAAGATTGCTTTGTGTGCTTACTCCCGGGGGGGGAGGGGGGGGGGCGCGGGGGAGACCTCCACTGAGCTTCTTATGGTCTCGTCATTGGGCTGGGGAATCAGAACTGTTGACTCCTCACTGACTCACTAGAATCAGGCGCAACCAGTAATGCAGTAACTGATTTATAAAAAACGTGGTAATGAGACTTACTCTATAATATGTAAAAAAAGCACAGCATTCAGTGTTTAATACTGTATCTATATAATGTGTCTACGTTTGCTTGACACCAAGCTAATAAACGTGGTAGATTGCGAAGCGGAACAAGATAGGTTATAGGATGATTTGAACATACTTGGGAATTGGGCAGATCGGTGGCAGATGAAATTCAATGTGGAGAAATGTAAAGTACTTCACATGGGGACAAAAAATCCCTGAAGGGACTGTTATTTGAATGGAAGGAAAATAATATGTATGGAAAATGAAAAGGACCTGGGGGTCCTGATTGAAGCTCTCCCAACAATACTCTGTGTCAGTGAGTAAAGCAAATCAGATGTTAGGATGCATCAAATGGTCAATAGCAAACCAAAATAGTGGGGCAATCATGCCACTGTATAAATCATTGTTAAGACCATGTTTAGAGTACTGTGTACAGTTCTGGTCGCCGCAGTACAAAAAGGATATTGGAGAAATCCAGAAGATACACAGGAGGGCAACCAAAATGATTGAGGGAATGGAAGGAATGGACTATGATGTGCAACTAGGTAAATTGGGCATGTTCACGCTGGAAAAGAGAAAATTGAGAGGCAACATGATTGCTGTCTAAGAGGCAAAATAATATATAAATCACGACAGGCTCTTTCAACTTGTCCAGAATAGTAAAACTAGGGGACACGGCCTGCGATTGAAGGGTGTAAACTCAGAACACATCTATGCTAACACTATTCCAGTGTGCGAATAGTGAACCTGCGGAACAGGCTCTCTACTCAGGGAGACGATTGAAGCAGGAAGTGTTGATTCTTTCAAACACAGATTAGATGGTTTTCTTTTACGAAATAACATTATGGGATATAGCGCATAGGTAGTTTCGGACATATGTGCAAGCGACTGTCAGTAAGGTGGAAGGCAAACTAGATGGACCTTGGTCTTTTTTCGTCTAGCATTTCTTATGTCCCTATGTCAGGCTGGCTCAGTGGTAGCACTCTTATCTGAGTCGGAAGGTGGTGGGTTCAAGCCCTATGTCGGTACTTGGAATCACATAGACTAAGATGACACTCCAATGCTGTGCCGGAGATGTTGCATTGTCAGAGGTGCTATCCTTTGTATGAGATGTTAAACCAAAGTCCCGTCTGGCAGTTCAGGTGGATGTCTGAAGCACTCGGCCCTGACTTAGGGCTTGAACCCACAACCTTCTGACTCAGAATCGTGTTTAATAGCTCCCACTGACACACGTATAGCATTATCTATAGTATTAAACAACAATAAAAAAAGCTTGCATTTATATAGCGCCCCTCAGGTAGGGTAGCATCCCAAAGCGCTTGACAGTGGCGGAGCATAACCCCAAGACAGACGTCGTGCTCGGTTACTGTTTAAGAACAGTATTGAACACTCAATGCTGTACTTTTTAACTCATGTATAGAGTGAGTTTCATCACCAGTATTTGTTTTTAAATAAGACACTATATCAAATGCAAGGATTATTTTATCACCAAGTGAGAAGAAAGTCAACGTTACTTTATTCCTTGTTAAGAGTCTGACTGAATCCAGCGTTGACTGTTTTGTTCCTGTTGTGTCAGGGACCTTCCCAGACTCTGAAGGTGGGTCATCAGCAGAGAATTCATGTAAACCTACAGAATCAGTTTTACAAATATTTCATTGCTTAGCATCATGTTTGAGACTGAAATAAATAACATCCCTAAGACAGCACTGCCACTTACTGCCAGAATTACAAGCTTTCTTTCATTTTTTGAAAGTACAAAATTAAAATGTTTATATTAGAAAAATGTCAACAACTTGAAACATTTTCCATAGTGAAGTCAGGTTATTGATATTGAAAGGAAACTGGCACCTTTATTTGGAGCGATTGAGACAAAAAGTACTCACTTAATGGTACTGGAAGCAGTAATGAATCACATTTTCTTTCTATAAGAAGAGACTTGAGTAAAGGTTAAGTTAATTAACAAAACAACATTAATTTTCCTAACTTTGCAGCCTATTTAGTGACAGCAACATTTTCATGTACAAAGTGACATCAGCTACAAGTTCAATGAGAAAGCAATTTGGATTAACTGAAACATAAACAATTTTAAGAACTAATAGTTTTAATTATCTACATGAATTGAATGTACGCCAAAAATAATAAAACTGCTGCACTTACCTTTACGGAATGTTCTCAGTTTTAAGCTCTGGGAAAACACAATATAATTAAATAAAGTACAATACTGCTTTATTCATTTGATACAGAAACTGAAACATATGTTCCCAGTAATGTTCCTCAAAATTAATTGCATGGCATTGCTGTTCATTGCTGTTCAGACATTCTAACATCTTGGTTCTTATCTGTGTTGTAATTCTGTGCGGAATTGAGATCTTGCAATCACATTTCATGTATGACTATGAGATCTAACAGCCAAGCTTTGGGTCCAGATATGACATGTACCAAAACCAGGGAAGAAACATTATTGTTCAGAGGTCTTGCTAAAAAAAGTTAAATTAAGAAAGGATTCAATAAGATAGACGTCAGCAGGATGTTTCCGCTTGTTGATGAGTGCAAAACAAGAGATTTAAACATAATGCAGTAACAGATCTAAGAGGAAGTTTCGGAGGGACTTCTTTACACATAGTGCAGTGAAAATGTGGAACTCGCTGGCAGACGTTGTAGTTGAAGCAAAACGTGTCAACATATTTAAGAGGAAACTTGATACGAAGAATAAGGGGTACAGTAGAGGGAATCAGCAGGAGTGAAGCGTTGTGTGAGTTATAAATGCTGGCACGGACTAGTTGGGCAAAATGGCTTGTTTCTGAGCTATTATGTTCTCTGCAATTCTGTGTAATATAAGTGGAACTGCCTAACACCAAATTTCACTGAATGTCAGGCAGAAAGAACTTTTTTAAAAATTGTACAACTTCTAATTGACTGATAGGTAGAGGAAGTAGCTCAAGGTCGGTGAACACTCCATTGTAGTTTGTTTGTCCACAATATTAAAGCCGTTTAACTTGACATCCTACACGCTAAAGGCAAATAATAATAATAATATGTCTCTCAGAGAGATGATCAGGAAACTCTGAGGCTTGGGGCGACAGCTGCTTGAAAGTGACCACCCTATCAGCTCCCTGTTCAACAGGCTCCGGCCTGCTTCACGCCCCCTGCCTTGCCCACCTTTGTCGGACGGGCCTTCAGCCTCTCTGCCCCCACCATCTGGAGCTCCATCCCTCAGCCTCGCTCCCTACCTTGCCTCCTTCAAGACCCATCTCAAGACCCTCCTCTTCGACTGTGCCTTCAGCCACCCCTCTACGCCTATCCTCCCCGACTTCCACCTCTCGTGATCCGAACCACCAGCTCGGATGCTGATCCCTGACTGTCCAGCGCCTTGGGACATCCGCTAGTTGTTACCAAGTTCATGAACATGCGCGCATACATCCAGTGCCTGGAATCCATCTTGCTTGGCCTGCAAAGAAGTAAGCAGTTGCTGCTCAAGCTCCGCACCTCCAACTAATAGAGCCATCGCTCAATGGGAAGGGATGTGTGTCCGAGCTGTGGACAGGAAGATGGTGACAATGCTCTCACGCAGTTTATGCTGAGCTGTGTTGCCCACAGGAATCTCACAGGGAGATCCCGATACCTGCCATCTACCGAGTGAGGCTCAAACCTGCACATGTTGGACTATTCCTCCGGGTGGGAGGGGGAGGTAAGCGGGGTTTCCTTGTCAACGGAATGTCAGAATCGAGCCAACCCTCTGTCACTGTCTCCAGTTCAGTTCCTGAGCCGATTGGGTTGGCAGTATTCCTGGGCACTGCTGATGACAGCACAGCCAGCTCATTGGCAGTTCTTAGAGGCCAGACCAATTGCTGGGGACAGGAACTCTTCCCACTCAGCTTCTGTTAACTCTGCAAACCAAAGCCCTAACAGTTAGGGTAGCGCTTTCCATGGCAAGCCATGCAATTTTAGCTGGTTAGAATCCAGCGGTGACCCCAAAGTCCCCAAGCCTTGGCTGTTGCCAAACTGTGCCTAATACTCTCCAGACATAGATCAGCAGGATGCATCCCTCTAGGGAGAGATTGTGCATTCCATTCTAATAAACATCTCGGGAATTTCCACTTATAGGGATGTATGATTCTATGTATAATTTCCACATATGGAGTGTTTGGTTTGAATATACTTAAGGACGGTGATGGTTTCCAATGTGACAGACACCCGGCTGACCAATAGAAAAGGTTACCTTGCTCCTTGACATCAGGTTCATGGATTCTAAAAAACTCTTGGGCTGCGAGACTCCACACCATTCAGAAGATGTTCCAATCTTTACAGTCACTGCAGGAGTTTGCTTGTTGAATGATGCCTGAGGTTGTTCTGAACAAAGATAAAAGAAAGATGGTGTAGAAGACGGAATCATATTTTGACCACCTTGTGACACAAACATTCAGTTGTAGTCAGTAGATGATTCTGCTGTTTCCCCCACTCTCTGGAACTCCATCCTGCATTGCCTCCGCCTCGAGCCCTCCTTTGCCTCCTTCAAGACCCATCTCAAGACCCTCCTCTTCGACGATGCCTTCGATCACCCTCCTTATCCCCCCTGCCCTCCATCCTCCTCGATCATGACCTCCAGCTCGGATCCGAAACATTGATTGTCCAGTGCCTTGGGACGTCTTCTCGACATGAAAGGCGCTTTAGACATGTAATTTTGTTGTTGTAGAATAATTTTTTTTCTAAATTTTTTTTAAAATCTGAGAATTAATCCTGAAGTGGATCATTAGCCAATTAGATGACAAACTATAGAAAGAGTGGATTAAGGCCAGGGAGAGCCAGAGCTCCCACAGCTACTCACCCAGTTGTTCTGGTAAAATATAAGATTCAGGAGTTCGTTCTGGCAATGCGGGAGGAGTTTCTTCATCAGAATCTACTGCATCTAATAAAGAGAATAGAAGAACTCATTTCAAAATATCAAATTGATGGCCTCACCTGTTCAATCATTTTCAGCTCCCACAGCCAGCCAACAGTACCAGATGTTTTGAGACGGCCACCCAATGTGAAAGGCAATATATAAATGTAAGTTATATTATAATATGTGGAGTCTTGTATCTTAGTGTTTAGAGGACTCGCCTCGCAAGCGAGAGGACCTCGGTTCGATTCCCGAGCAGGCAAAACATTGGGCAAGTTTTCTTACTCCACACGTCTCTGTTTACCTAGCAGTAAGTAGAAACCCGGTTGTTAGTCAATTGTCAGATTGCTTTTCCGGGGTAATAATCCCTTCAAAATAAATAAAATAATAATAATTTGGTCAATCCATGACTGTTTGTGGGACACTGCTGTGCACAATTAGCTGCCGCGTTTCACCAACAAAATATAGTCAATTTACTTTACAATATAGCCTGTGAAGTGCTTTGAGATGTCTTGAAGATATGATAAGGTGCTATATAAAAATGCAAGTATTATTATTATAATATTTATACAGTTTGATTTAAACTTACTATTTTTCTTTTTGCATTCCATTTCACTTGGATCATGAAGTTGCTTTACTGCTGTGTTCTGCCTTGAAGGCAGTTCACTAAAGCTCACAGGAATTTGAAATGCATCATGTTCATTTTGAGATAGATCCTTTGGTGCAGTCACACTCGGATGAGTATGTAGAGGCTGTGAGGAGGAAAGAAGTTCCAGTGGACAAAGATCTGCTGAGCAGGGAGAGGTGAAGTAGGGGTCTTCAGTGAAATGTGTCCATGCTGATTGGATATTAGAATTCACATGCACACAATATTGCGTCTCTGCTCCATATGCGAGAAGGATCTTCTTTTCCTGATCATGTTCCCAGTCACAGGAATGCCAACTCTTTTCTACGGGGGACACAGAGCTGTTGCACTTAATGTTTTGAAGCTCCTGAGAAGCGCAGAAGAGATTCTGTTTAACTTCAAAAGATTCCTTTGTGTCTTCAAGATGGTGGTACACACAAGATTTTTGGCTTCTTGTAGCTGATGGAGAGTTATTTATAGTATTTTTCTTTTCCTGAAACAATAGTTCCGAGTGCTGAGATACTTCTGTGCTGTCAGTGTCTAGGCTCAGGTGTCTCTCTAACTTTTTCTCAATAGCAAGTTGTCCACTGCATAAAGAGACCTCTGTTTGTTCATTAACGTATGCACAGTTATGATTTCTACAAATGTCAGTGACTAGTCCACAAGATGTGTTGTGCCGATCAAGGCATAAATTTAATCTGTGATCCTGAACTGCAGGAGAGAAGGGGGCAATGGCTTCATCCATCAATTGGGAACCTTGTTCTTTTTTTGGAGATCTGTAAAATTGTAAAATATATACACTAAGAAAGTTATAAACCCATTTAAAATTGAAAATCCTAAAACGGCTTCTCGGTATTCTTGTCCACTCGACATAATGATGATATTCCCCTTTATTTGGAGATTGATTTGTGGCTCAGCTGCAATCACCAAGACACTCTCATTGATATTTTCTGGTCTTGCGCGAAAACACAAAACTACCGGAAAATTGTTGTCCTCACCATCGATGACGGGACTGAGAATGCCTGTTGCCAAAACAACAGGCACAAGCAGCTTTACCAGCTGCCAGGAGATGTATATCTCAGCTGTGAAAGCAATTGTATTGCCAATTGTTGGCCACAGCAACATCGCCATATATTTCAGTAACAGAAATCTAGATTAATACTTAAAATGCAGAGATTTGTTCTAAGAGGTCTGATCCCCATTCCTGGAAATGTACACACTCCACGAATAGCTCGTTAACTGGCCCTCTTGATTCTTAAAGCTATATTGATCATATGTACATTTTTTAGACATTTCATAGAATTATAATAGAATCAGCACAGAAGGATGCCATTCGGCCCATTGCGTCTGGGCTGGGTCTTTCCAAAAAGGGCTACGGAAATCAATCCCAATCCCCTGCTCTCTCCCCATAGCTCTACAAGCTTGTCCTCTCCAATTTGGTAAAGTAATATTGAGATTCCTTAAAATTGCCTCTCCTGGGGCAGCTTTTACTGGGTAGTGGATCGAGCTGTAGCTTATCAATCAGGAACTTGATTTGTGCTGTTTGCTGGGCTCAGCTGGGACTGCGTAAGGAGGTTACATAGGGTAAATTCAGAGATTACTGCTTCTCGTCCAAGCGAGGAAAGGTCAGCCTGTAATGCCCTCTACAGTTGAGAGGCCTTTCGACATTCACTGCCAAGGCTCACACAAACAGTGGCCACATGCACAGGGTAGGTGATCCACAAGAGGAGTCTGGAGATCAGGAACAATATGTGAATGGGAAGAAAATTGGAAAATATTTGGACACATAATTTAAGAAAAAGCCTCCTTCATTTTCTACATATAATGAATGATTGTATTTCGATATAGTTAATTACTTTATCCTCATCTTATTCTTGAATGTCCTGCTGTACATTTATTTTGATTTATTTAAACTTTTTTTGTTCCACATTTTGCATAATTTTATTTAAAATAAAGGAAATAGACCCTTTTCGTGGAGTCCTGTAGCTCAGTGGTTAGAGCACTCGCTTTGCAAGTGAGAGACCTGAGTTCAATTCCAGGCAGAGGGTGAAACCTTGGGCAAGTTTCCTTACTCCACTCAGAGCCTAATAATAATCCCTCCAAAACCAAAACCAATAATAAAATTGGTCATTTTCAATCTACGACTGTTTGTGGGACATCGCTGTGTGCAATTGGCTGCCGCGTTCGCCCACAAATATACAGTCAATTCACTTTACAGTGTGTTCTGTGAAGCGCTTTGGGACGTCCTCCCGACGTGAAAAGCGCTATATCAAATGCAAGGATTATTATTATTATTATTATTACTGTCTCAACAATGAACTTGGTTGCAGCAAAGAACACGCTTTGCCTGCGATGTCCAATACCTGTGAAGCTGTAGAGAGGTTGTGGAATCCAGGGTAGGGTTTGGAGGAGGTAATACTGTCACTTTAACCTATTGAGGCACAGAAATAAGACTATGATTAGAACCAGAACACCAGAGACCACCCACCTTTTACTGAAACAATATTTTAACAATGTGAAGTTGTGACTGCAAACGAGGAGAAGAACAAATCCACTAAAACTGCAGCTAAAGCAACACAGTGTCAGCAATAGCTTTCAGATAAAAGTTGAAGATTACTGAGCCATTTCCTAAATAAGATTCCTCTTGCGCAAGTGCTCCGGGATGCTACCCCTCGTGAAGGGCAGTATATAAATGAAAGTTGTTATTGTTGTTGGAATAACAACAATAACAAATGTGTCCTTAACTACTTAACATCTCATGGTCCAGTCACTTCATGCTTTTACTCTTGCCAATTTTACTTAAAAAGTTATTGATAGCATTTTTTGATATGCAAACATAAATGTGAACCTCGTTAAATTTGTCTTATTGGTATTTTATGACTACTTTTGTCCCATCTAATAAATTATTTTCTGCATTAATGCCTGCAAACACTGGAAGTAACGAGTTGCACTTTAAAACAAAAATTAACAATCTATTCACAGTTCTAGTTAATTTCACACTTTGCTTTGAAAGCAAAACTGGATTTTGTTGTGATACAAGTTATTTACTGTAACCATTGATTTTGCAATTTCTCACAAGGGCCAAGTAGAGAATATAACAAATAATCTTCCATTTGATACAACGTCTTATCACATCAACAACATGTCTCACGGCTTCACAGGACTTATTATAAAATTTAGTGACTGTCTGTTTGTAGGTGAAAATGTGAAATGGTTTACGGTAGGGAGGTTTAATGCCAGAGCTGCTAAACTATCTTTGTATTATGAAAGCAATGTCATTGACTCTGGTGCAAACTACTTCTATTTGGGAAATGGTAGCTCGCTTTTGTTGAATTGGTCACGTGCTGACACTGCTCACAGAAGCAACTTATTCACTGGGCTGTTGCTGAGATGTTGCATCAGGTAGCAGGATACATGTACTTGTAGATTGCATTTCCATTTTAATCTGGTTGATTGAAAGCAGCTCAAGATGAGCTACGCAAAGCTGAATTTTACTTTATTTTTTGCACCCTGGATCTTAATATGAGTATGAGAATTTATTGAAGAATGGCTTACAGAAAATAATTGAAATGCAGATTCAGACAGAAAGGTCACTTGATCTTTTTTCCAGTAGAGCTACTTTCTAACTACCATCTGTGTCACCACTTCCGGTGGCTGCACAATGTGCTGCACAAAAACTCACGCCTACATCGCTCAGAAACCTCAAGCCTCTGCCTTGTTCCATATGGCTCACACAGGAGGAAGTTGACAAACAGATTCTGAAAATAGCTGATTGAGAGAATTCCGATTCTTTATTCTTGGAACTGCCAAGTGGTAACCTGCAAATGAAGCATTTTTATTGCCCATCTAACAGCGATTGGAAGGGTAGGTGGTTCTCAAAAAAAGAAATACTAGGAAAATATTTGATATGTGCATCAATTTTCTACTCCATTTATAAATCTAGAAAAATAATACATTTTAAGGAAAAGAGTCATCCACAAAACACTATTTCCAAGACCAATTTTGGAAATAAAATATTTTTCTTTGTAGCCAATCCTGTTATTCACCAACAATTTCTCGCTCATTCAGATAGGTGCAAAATCCTCCTAAAGTATACATAATACAATGCACAATAATATAATGTTAATAAGGTAATATCACAATAAGAGCTATAATGTCGGGATCCCAAAAATTCCAACTTGTGTAATAAGCGAAGGCAATAAACAGGCTGTCACTGCGCGGAGAGAGCCAGCTGTCAGCTCTCATACAATGATCCCACAACTAATAGATTATCTTGTGCATTGTCGCCATACATCTAACCTGCTAGTAACAGGACTTTCATGCCTTGATGTTTCCATTACACAAGAAAGCAATGTACTGCAGAATGTTATATTGGTAATGCAATTTGTTGTTGTTGCTTAGCATATTGCCAGGTAGGTGTCAATCTGTTATAAAGTTTACTTTTTTAAATGAAATGATGTATTATGATACAATATAATTATAATGGAACTTGGGAAAATGTCAAACATTCTCCTGCATAGTTCATTCTTTGCATAGTTCATTCTTTGAGAAGTATCTGGGACTGTGCCCCTTCCACCTGCTGTTAAATAGATGCATAAATTGTTTTTATATCCAGAGAAATGGAATCCAAAAGCACGTTGATTTTGTACAAGATGACACATTAGTTAGCCCACAGTGGATAGTTTTGGATACCCCATTATCGTAAGAATAGAAAACCAATGGAAATTGTGCATCTTAGATTAACTGAGATGTTATCAGGGATAAGGAAGTTTTAGTTAAGAAGAATGACTTGACACATTAACTTTTTTTCCATTAGAACTGAGAAGGTTAAGAAGTAACTGGTACCAGTCTTCAATGTTATGGAGGGTTAGGGTTACAGTAGGGTAAGCAAGATCTAGATGAGCCTTCAGTAAAACGTCAACAAGTCGAAAGCCATCTTGCCAGCACCTTCTGGTCTCTAATACTGACTCAATCAGCCTCACTGGCTGTGCATTAACTTCTTCATTGTGAGTGTGTAGTTGAGCCACAATGATGTTGCACGTCAGTACACCAAGTTTGGTTACTCTGCATTTCCTGTTCTGGTCCCCCATGCAACAGAGTAAAATAAATAAAATAGAAATAACGCAGAGATAAAGGCACGTGGTTACAGAAAGGAAGTGGAACACAGAATGATGAATACTCACCAAATCTTGATTGAGGCTCATGTTGGTGTTCAAGAATTCTATTTGATTTTCAAACAAGTAAGTGATTGCACTGTACACCAGCTCATATTGTTCCTTTAATTAATACACAAGGAATATCAGTTATTGGATGTTTGAGGACTATCCTGATGCATGAGAAAAATAAATTAACTGACATTTCCAGGGATTCCAGTACTAATTATTTTAGTTTTACACATTTATTATTTTTTAAAAAAAGCATGGCAGTTGACCCCACATCTGAGAGTGAGCAAATAAATGAGAATATGGAGGGGCTGAGGATGGAGCCTTGGGGTGCACCGCAGGGACAGGAGATTAATCCATTGGTAGAACCAAAATGATGGTGATGGGCAAGTAGGCCTTGAACTAGATGAGTGTAGTCCCCCCTAAGATGGATGAGGAGTGTTGCATGGTCAACAGTCAAGAACGTTTTGTATTTCACATTCTTTGAGTAGTTTATATCATTTGGAAGATATCATAAACAAATCATTGTTTAAACAATTTTCAGTAAACACAAAGTTATGATTAGGATCAAATGCAAGGCTTGTTCAATAACACACAATATTATCAATAAAATTACATTTGTATAGTATTTTTCACATCGGTAGGATGCCGCAAGGCGCTGGATAATCAGTGTTGTTTTAGAGAAAAATGATGGAATTCACTCTTTAAAACTAATTTCAACTCCACATTAACTAAAGCATTTTAATCTGGGAGTGTAGTCCTCTCCACCTTTATTCTCCAATACAAACTTTTAAGCGATTTAAAATAATTAGACATTAAATTGTTTTAGTTTTAAATGAAGGCTACAATATCATTTATTGGAGTATAATGTTATACTACAGTCAATAATTTAAATGTGTTTCATCACCAATGGACTCAAAGGGAAATGTATTGAGATCTGTTAAATTTCAATCATGCAATATCAGGAAATAGTTCCATTACAGTTCTTCAACACTCAACAGAGAACAGAGTTCTGTTACACACCATTGGTATTGGTAAAAGAAAAGAAGCAAAATGTAACAATCACAAGTTTTAATCAGCCAAATCGGGCAAAATGTTTCTGTTTTTTAAAAAAAGTGCAATTAGGATCAAGGCCAAAATAAACAAATACAATTGATAGCTTCCAGCTGTGACTGTAAGTTAATAGCCAAATACCCAAATAACTTGTGGTAATCATTTTTTAGTCGCTTTCTACCCTCAGTACAATACACTACTTGTCTCTATTCTGTATTTATATTTTAGAATCCAACAAGTCATGCATTTATGAATTGATACTTGCCTTCTCAACTATATTGAAGAAAGTTTAAACTTTGACTCTTCGTTAGTTATCTCTTTCATCTTTCATATTGTAACTAGTAGCAGCAATTACCTTGGTTTGCACAATTGATGGACGTTGTGTCCTCATTTCTTGGATCAGGTTATAAACATGAAAATTTTCTGGAATTATCTGAAACAGGAAAACAGAATAAAGGGAATTGTTTTTCAAATCTGCTATATCTTCTAAACATGATTAAAAATAATTATAAATTACTGGAATTGGTGCAATTGGTCCCAGAGAATATATGAATCAATGAATCTACTAGTCTCTTATTGTTTCTAGCAATGGAATTAAATTCAATACCTGGAATTCAATTCTTATATGATCAGTTAGATGTTTCAAAGAATGATAGACTGTTACTGCACAGAAACAGATCATTCAGTGCATCAAATCTGACTGGTATTTTTTATCCATATGAGCCACTTAATCAAATTACTGTATCCAGCTAATTCTGCAATCCCATTATTATTTCTCTTTTCAAGTATCAATCTAATGTAAGATTTTCTCAATATTCTATGAAATTGGCATTCGGTGAATGTTGTGTTTAGGAAAATAAAGCAGATGACTCTGTGAATGAGAATCTAGTATTAATGAAAGCCGAAAACACCAGAGGAAAATGGCTGATGTTTCACTTGACTTTTTTTGTATTTTGTAGACTTAAAGACTAAATGCTCAAAATTGCACCCAATATTCCACATGTACTTCCACTGGTTATCTGCACAAGGTTACACTAACTTCTTTAATTTTTCAGTCAAAGAGTCATGATGCAGCTTGTACATGATGCACTTTGTTGATACCAGCTTCAGACTGAATGGACTTTTTAGTGAATAATCAATAATCACATGCATATCCTTCTGCACTGATGCATACTTTGTGGACATTTGTTCACTGTTTCTTGTTCCAATCTGCATTTATATTAAAATCCACTGCATTCTTAGCTAATCTGCTCATCTTCCTTATATGCTTGGTCACATGGTTTGGTAATATTAAGAATTATTATATTGCAAGATTTACTCTTCAGCATTTATGTCTGCTTTGACGAGAGGAAATTTAGCAACTGCTTCTCAATAGAATTTCAGTATCTCTCTCTCCCATTGCCTATCTTGGGTGAGGGTTTCAGACCCATGAATATGCCAGAATATTCAGAAGCACCCCTGTTTAAACTATACATGTTTCCACCATACCATTTTATGTGTAAATAGGTTAGATGTCATAAAAGGAACTAGAGCTATCTTTACCCCATCCTTCAGGAGCTTCCAGGTGTAATCAATGGCACAGATGACTCCAGTCCTTCCACAACCAGCACTGCAATATAAGAGTACAGGAAGTGTTAGACAGATCAGTGGTGCTTTAATCGGGATTGAACAGAGAGAATAGAAAATCCAACATATCTCCATGAAAATGTGGCCTGTGAAACAATCCTCTAAAGTTCAACAGGCTACAAAATCAGCAAGATTTTTTTAAGAGGTTATTTTTCAAGTGTCACTACAAATGTTACTAGACATGTAGGAATGACCCTGTGTCAGGGAAGGAGTTACAAGTCAAGAGATACCTAGACATTCATTGTTACCAATTGCTGCCCATTGAAATACAGTAGAGAAATAATTAACACCATAATTGAGACTGGCAAACAGTGCAGATAATTGGACATCACAGAAAATACAAATTGGTTGTGGTGTTAATTAAAAGGTTATTCTGTCAGAAATTATGTCACTTTTGTGTCATACTTCGGTCTTCAATCTCTCTGCTACTCTCTCTGGCTCTGCCATTTTTTCTGTTTGAGTATTTCTAACTTTCTTTCTCTTTCTGACCCTGTATAAAAGTACTGTACTGTGGAATGTACCTAGGAATACTGACAATTACAGGGGGAAATCTTGTTAGGAACATATGGGTGTTGTATTTTGCAATTTTCCACATATAGTTCTTTGTAGCCACTGGTAAGGCACTGCTCTGGATTTTAATAATGCATTGAAGGCCATTATTAAAAAAACAATTATTTTATTCAATGAGAGAGATACAGTTTGGAAGCTAATTATGAAAATATAATTCATATGGTTTGAATCCTATTTTATTATTCGTTCAAACCAAATGAATATCAGATAGAAAATATTAGATAATGCAGAACAGGAGCAGCTTGCTTACAAAACAGAAAGTACTATAGCATTTGCAAGCTATGAAAATATGCAATTTGAATTTTCTAGAACCATAAACAGAAAAAAAGATTAACAGGGGCAAGAACGATCATAACATACTATATAACATACAGCTGTAGCCAATTAGGCCTAGCCAATAACAAGTAACTTATTGATTAACTTAACTTATTGATTAATCACTTGATTAGGTGTTAATTCCAAATTACTGCTGAGCAAATCAGAAAGGGGTTGCACCCAGAAAGTATAAATAGGAGATAGCTGCGAGAGCCCAGAGTGTGGTGAGGCCAGAGTGTGAGGGAATTTGGTGAGTAGGAATTGCTGCTGTGAATGTTGTGAGTACATAACCCAATTTGATGTTACTATTCAAGTATTGTAGTAATTGTTGTAGTTGTTTTAAGTCTTGTGTTAGTTAAAATTGCTGATACCTTGGTACATTGGTCTTGTGGGGTAACTTTACAGGGAGCAGCTGTAGCCAATTAGGCCTAGCCAATGACAAGTAACTTATTGATTAATCACTTGATTAGGTGTTAATTCCAAATTACTGCTGAGCAAATCAGAAACTGGTTGCACCCAGAAAGTATAAATAGGAGATAGCTAATTTGGTGAGAGTGGGATTTGCTGCTGTGAGTGTCGTGAGAACTGCTATCGTGAGTACATAACCCAATTTGTTGTTGTTATTATTCAAGTCTTGTAGTAGTTGTTGTAGTTGTTTTGGGCTGAAGAAAGACAGAAAGTCCGACCACTGACGATGAGGTGGGCAGGGTGGAGGACGTGAAGGATAGTGCCTGCCGAGCAGTGGGAGTTGTAGGGTACATCCTGTGAAGCACTTTGATACATGTTCCTGATATGAAACGTGTACCAAAGTTAGAGATTACTATTGTTGTAACCTGTGTGATTATGAATCTAGTTATTATTTTTACAATACAAATTATATTTTGTGAGTCTGTGTGGCATGCCATGGTAGTTACCTGCAGTGGATGCAGATTGGGATGTCATCATGATGCTGGAGGAGCCGCATGTCTGTGATCATGTCCAAGATAGGGTCGATAGAAGATGGAACATCATGATCTGCCCAGTTCATATAGTGAAGCTGGTGAACTGTGCGGCACATCTGAGTTAGAGAAAAGATGTTGTGATATTTTAGGCTGCAGTGGTCGTATTCCAAAATAATGAATGTCAACATAATAAATATGGCCCAAGTAAAGCAACAACAGCAGTAAATGATAATTCTGCAAAAGTTCTGTTAAATTTAATTCAGTTTAAAACATCCAAAATTAGCAGAGAATGTACATCGGGAAAAGCAACACATGAACCAGCAGCCTTGTTGAATTAAAAACAGAAGTCGCTGGAAACACGCAACAGGTCAGGCAGCATCTATGAAGAGAGGAAAATGTGTGAATGTTTCAGGTCGCTGACCTTTTGTCAAAACTCCTTGTTCTGACGAACCTTAATGAACGCCTTGATGATGTTGTCTGCTCATTGACAAATACAAAATATGGAAGAGATAACAAACATAATTCATCTGAGGCAGAATATCTATTTTAATAATACTAAAACTAAGACATGTTTCTGTATCATTGTGTAGGCACTGGTTTCTGACAAGCAGTTCGGAATTTCTCTGGAGCTAGCGCTCGTCTACATTTTAATAATGAAGGTTTAGTTGGAATTATGCTTCGCTTATATTGCAATAAAGATTAGGTGCAATCCTTGTAATATTATTTACTTACACTTTGAAACTGAACTTTCAATATTCTGACAATATATTCAGATTTGTTTGTCTCTTTTTCCTGGAAAATGTAAATGAAAAAAAATTAATAAACATTAATGTGCCAGACCCTGAAACACTTTCTTCCATACTCAATTGCAGTGATATTTAGTCCTAAATTGTTATCAATTCGTGGAGTCCTGTAGCTCAGTGGTTAGAGCACTCGCTTTGCAAGTGAGAGACCTGAGTTCAATTCCAGTCAGGGCGAAACCTTGGGCAAGTTTCCTTACTCCACACAGAGCCTAATAATAATCCCTCCAAAACAAAAAACAATAATAAATTGGTCATTTTCAATCTACGACTGTTTGTGGGACATTGCTGTGCGCAATTGGCTGCCGCGTTTGCCCACAAATATACAGTCAATTCACTTTACAGTCTATTCTGTGAAGCGCTTTGGGACGTCCTCCCGACGTGAAAAGCGCTATATCAAATGCAAGGATTATTATTATTATTATTATTATTAATTCATAATTAATATCCAGAGTAGCGTCACATTCTTATTTCAGGACAACCTTGTGAGATTAGATGTCTCTCACACCCTAACCCTAGTGTGTTGTGAAACAACCAATAACTTAATTTCAAAACAAAACAAATAGCTGGCTTCCCCAAAGGAATACTTTTCTTAAATATTTTTAAGTTTCACCAAGTGTCAGTAATGATTAGCTAACCTGATCGCCTGCTAGTACTATAACTAGTAACACTACTGGTAATACAACCAGTAACATAACGCCACTAGTACTGTTCGTATGCGGGTGGTGTCCCAGATTTCTGCCGCCAGATGGGATCCTGTCTCAAACCGTGGTTCATCTGAACAGCAAGTCCGAGAGCTCAGGACTCAGGCGAACGTTCTTCCATCCGGAAATCATGTGTCGTTGCAGTCGGTTTGACCAACATTGGCTGGTTTGCATTTCGAGAATCTAGCGTTGGCATTGGGTGTGGGAAAGCTTGAAACGCGTCCGAGTCTCTCTTTAGCAGCGACCATGTCTCCCAACCGAATAGTAGCACCGACATCGGCTGTAAATACACAGCCTCTCGTGTCCGCCTCCATACCCCGTGAAGCTGCGCAGCACTGCTCCCGGTGACGTCTGGTCCTCGAGGAGTTGAATGGTTCTAACTGCGCTGTACATGTCTTTGGTTCTAATCTCGTCTTCCTGAATAAACTCAACTGTATTTCCTATTTCAATATTAGTTTATTTTTTAAATACGTTCAGTTTCCTCAACCACTCATCATGATGACAAAAAATATATCAGTAGATTGACAAAAGCATTACCCATCGGGTGAACTGGCAACAATACTCACACAAGTCACACTAAACGGTCCATAGTGACATGGATCCTCACCACTGTAAGCCCAGTATCGCTCACATTTTTTCTGAAAAACAAACAATAACTAAACAGGTTTTTATTTTTTTAAAAACGATGGAGTAATAAATGGAGGGTAGGAAATAAAAGGATACCTTACCCGTCCCATCTCAAATTCACGGCAAGCCATAATTACTATCTAAAGGCAGAAAGAGATAAAACATTTAATATATCATAACTCTAATAGAGGATGCAAAATGTTGCACTGTATTAAAAAGAAATGATTGGCAAGAAAATAGGTGATTCAGACCAACTTGCCCATGCCTGGTATCATACAAAATATTTTATAGAACTTGAAGCATCAGGGGAGAGAGAAATGGTACAAAGCAATTTGTACATTTTAATAAGCCATTATTTTGTGTCAGGGTTTGCTCCTCTAAGAAGACATCCATCCATATTCCTTGTTATTCCTCATACTATTCTAAAGGAATGTAAATATGCCTTAAATTATAACATTTTGAATGGGATAGAAAACCAGTCCATTAAAGGTGGCAGCGTAGGTAGACGTGGCCATAAAAAGATAAAACTGAATTTTTTTTTACCCAAGGGTATGCAAACAAGATAATGAGCCATTCATTTGATATAGCACCTTTTCAAGGACAGAGACGTTTGTTCTTCATGGCTCATACCACTAATTTTGGTCTCATCTGCCTTTGCTGCAGTGCCCTAATGTTGGAGCAAGCAGCACTGTGCATATACCAGATGCCCCCCATCAAACCCCTATACGACTTGAGCATGATTTGGGGGTATCTAAACAAACCTGAGTTGGCAGTATAACTCTACGTGCTGTTTGCTTTGTTTATTGCTGACTCATATCATTTTGGTGAGCAATCACCTTAGGTCTTTTTCAGCTTCACCCAAGGTAAGTTCTATCCTATCAACCGAGTACGTGTTTACCTTCAGTGCAAAATTAGCTGCAGTGAATTAGGATGCAACAAGCCAGTAAAACAAGAGAACATAGTTTTAGAATTGTAACAAGCAATTTTAGGACGGATACTAATAAGGTTTTCTTTACGTAGTCATTTAATCAATGACTGGAACAGATTGCCAGGAAAGATGATAGAGGTCATGACACTGAATTAATTTAAAAAGCAGTTTTATCGTGCAGTGAGGGAGGGGAGGCTGGGTGTGCTGGAAGAACAGTCGATAGGATGCAGGGTCTTTCATCGAAACCGATCTTGCGATCTTATGAATTTGCCAATCATCAGCCCAATCTATATAGCCTATCAACTCTCTTTGTACAACCTTTCGCTGCCTCCTCTACCAGTTGGTAGACACCTTGGTGTCATTTGCAAATGTAACTGCCTTGCACTTAGTCTGTGAATCCAGGTCATCTAGCAATGGAGTAATAAAAATATAAAGTAATATGAAGAAAGAGCTGGAAAGTGGAATTCATATTAAAGGGATACAGACGTGGTAAGCAGATGTGCTGAAAATTTCTATGATCTATTAATTTAATATGCACCCCACGACTTTTTGTGACCTTGCAAGGACAAATGGTGGCCATGTTTGCCTACTACAAGTGCCACTTAACGTGACAGTGATGACTTGTAAAGCGCTTTAAAATATGTCAGTGCGATAAGATGCCATACAAATCAAATTCTTTCTTTATAGGGTTCCTCAGAACATTACAGACCCAAATATTATACAATTTGATAAAATGTATTGGACAAAGAATCCTTCATCACTGAATACATGTATAAAGATGATAGAGGTAAATGGGCAGAATACAGGTAGAAAGACTGATGTCCACAGTAATTTACTATACTTCTATATGCACAAATTGGAGAATTATAGTGTATTGAGAAAATCTGATCATAAATCTGACAGAAAGGAGTTCTCCCCAGTACTTATTTCTTCAAAGCCAGTTTTATGCAATGCAAAAAGAGGTAGCAATGCCACAGTAAAACTTACTGAAACGTTATATTCCCACAACATCCTCCAAAAATCCATCACTGTGTGAGGCAAAGGACCCTGTGTAGCAATATAGGCCTGTGGTCCATATACACCCTGGGGAGGAACACAATTTAAAATCATCACTATATAAATGAACTATTTCAGAAGATCCTTGGTACATTTTCAATTGAATTAATAAATAGCTGAATAATCTTCAAAGTCTATTTTGTTTAAAGAAAACTGTAAACAGTTTTCAACTCTCATTATGTACTCGTGAATATGTTTATCACCAACAAGTAATAAATAAATACTTTCTAATTTGGTGTTTGTGGGTATCTGATGTAACAACCCAAACATATTCCTTGTGCAAACCAATTCCACGTGTAAACCAGTCCATGTGGTATCACTCTTGGTGGGTCTTAGTTATGAGGTGGATATAGTCTCCGACCATCGATGATTGACTTCCCCTGCCACATGCAAATGACATCTGAATATATCAAGAAAATTTTGGTAAGGCATCCACAAAATACAGTCACTTCAACTTATTATAATAATAATAATCCTTGCATTTGATATAGCACTTTTCACATCATCGAGATGTCTCAAAGCGCTTCACAGAATATGCTGTGAAGTAAATTGACTTTATATTTGTAGGCGAAACGCGGCAGCCAATTGTGCACAGCAGCTTTCCACAAACTGTCGTGGATTGAAAATGACCAATTTATTATTGTTTTTGGGAGGGATTATTATTAGGCGTGAGTAAGGAAACTTGCCCAAGGTTTCGCCCTCCCTGAAATGAACCCAGGTGTCTCGCTTGCAAGGCGAGCGCTCTAACCACTGAGTTACAGGACTCCTAATGTATCCCGTGAAGCCCTTTGGGACTCCTGATGTGAAAGTCACTATGCAAGGATTACAATTATGAAGTCTCCATTATAAAACTTGCTTTACCTTGATAAAATTCCCATTGATATAATCAGAATCATTGTCAGAAATGATCAACGACAGCTTCACTCTGCTGTGATCAACTGAAAGATAAAATGTAAATTAGGCACACTCACAAACATTTCCATTTCTGCTTTGATCATCACATGCAGACACCCATCACCAAGAGTATCCAACCCCCCGTTTGCCACCTATACAGGAAACTTCCCGTGTTTGTTTTGTGCATCACGCTGAGAGTTTCTAAAGCTTTGAATTTAAGTGATATCACAGAACAGAAAACGAAACAGATTATCGCAACAAGAGAATACCCGTCCCCATAAGGAAAGGAAGGGCCGGGGACAGGAGCCGAGGACAGGGAAGGAACTGGGACAGAGGTTGAAGCCACGAAGTGCACATTACTTTGACAGTGGAGGAGATTCAACACTGAAAAGAACATCTTAATTTTAAGGTTGCGACAACTCAATAGGAGAAACGTTTGCTTACAGGGTACAATGTCTTTGTATCGGTTCTTCTTAACATTTTCTTGTTTATCTGCGCTGCTTGAAAGGTAGATTTTGTCATTTCTGAATTTCGTCGATTGTCTTTTCAGTCTCTACAGAGGTTTCGAAAATCGCAAAGACTTTATAAACTGTTTTAATCAGAAAAAACGCTCGCGAAAGTTTTTCTCAAATGTTTAGTCGTAATGGAACACAAGAATAAATAGATATAATATATACATTTTTTTAAAAAAAGCTATAGATTAAAATTCCTAAATGCCATCCGCATAGGTTGATATTTAGATTTGGCGGAGAATTTTAATGATGTTTAAGAATCCTCTGAGATCTATGTATCCTGTAGAATAGAGATTAAATTTCTTGCTCTTTCTGGTTTACACTTGTCAGACACAGGTTCCCGGAACAACCATCGCGCCTACTTCACATTTGCACAAATTAATGTAAGTAAAACACATATCTTACCAAAAATTCACCCGCAATATTCTCCTGTTTATCACACCTCTTACTTTTTACCACATTAAGAAATTTCAAGAGAATTTCTTTTTGGTCCATGTTCAAAAACTGCGTTTCTTTTTCTTTCTTTCTCACGGATCTGCAGTGCTCACAATGTCAGTGGTGACCGAGTGGATCAGAACGCTGTGTCTCTGGTAATTAACCAATTGAACCTTCTAATTCTCAATGGTCAGAACAGAGTTCAGTCACTGCTCTCTGGAGTCCTAGTGCCCGTCGATACGGCAGTTTTCATAAAGGTGGTTTTAAAGTTACAGTTTTCAAGAAAAGCGTTTCAAGTGCCGTCTTCGAAACTATTTCTAAACATAGATTTATTTTGTCTGTGTTTTTGTGAGGAAGGAAGCACACGCATCAATGTGAAGAAGTATTGTTATGAACCTCTGGAACTCTCTACTCCAATCCCTCCACCTTGTCCATCTCTTCAGAATTAATCTGAAGACTTTCTTCCTCAACAGTGCCTATGCTTTCCTCCCCAAACTCTCTGGCTCAACCTGCACTGTCAAACTCCACCACTATTAAACTCTCCAAGACAGCTGGAGCTGGCCCGGGCTTGCCGGCGCTGGCCCGGGGTTGCTGCTACCTCTGTGGCTTGTTGTCATTTACTGATAAGAGGGGACCCTCCGCCCTTTCCCAAAGCCGCCTTTGTTCCTTTTCCACACACAGAGGAAACCCGATGTGTTCTATCCGGTGAGGATAGTACTTTGTCCGTTTGACATTGGTTTAATGTTCATTGTATTAAACTACAACTTCTATAGTCGAACAATAGTAAATTCTGGGCCTTTATTTGTTGGTTTGAAGCTGATTTTGTGAAACTTGAGATTTGCTGAGTTTTCTCTTTGTGTTTTAAGAGATTTTATACAGAAAGCCTTGCATGTGCGCGCACAGACACTCCCCCCCCTCTCCACCCAGTCTCAGGGCCAGGTTTTGAGACCCGGCACCTTCCCCGGTGACGCCTCATCCTCCGGGTAAGAAAAAAGGCTTAATAATAAAACATCTTCATCTAAATTATTTTTCGCAGTTAAAAAAAAACACCTCTTGCATCAGCTGGAAATTATTCCTTTTTTGAAGTCTTGATTTGTGTCAAAAAAATTAGAGGAAACCCGTAAATTGACCCCGAAACCCGGTGCAAAATGTTCCTAATTCTACATTAATCCCAATCATATCCGTGGGGGCATTGACTTTGTGTTTAAATAATAACCGCTCTCCGGGTACAACGCGGGAAACGGGTTTAACAACAACAAGATTAGATTTATAGTGCGCCTTTCACGTTGGGAGGACGTCCCAAGGTGCTGGATATTTGGGTCAGGACCCGAGCATTGGGGAGGAATGGTCAGGCTGAGGGGAGGGGAGGGAAGGGAGGGGGCGAGGAGGGGCAAATGGTCAGGGTGAGGGGAGGGAAGGGAGGGAGCGAGGAGGGGGTAGAGAGTCGAGAGGGGAGCCGAAGGCTCGGTCAAAGAGAAAGGTCTTGAGACCGGCCTTGAAGGAGCAAAGGGAGGAAGCGGCGAAGGGGATAGAGTTCCAGAGCCTCGGAGCTTAGTGGCTGAAGGCCACCGATGTTGGGGCGGGGGATGTGGAGCAGACCGGAGCCAGAGGAACGGAGGGTACGGGCAGGTAAGTAGGGGGATAGTAGGTCAGAGAGGTAGGAGGGAGCAAGGCCGTGAATGGCATTGTAGGTGAGGACGAGGATCTGGAATTCGAATTTAAAGTGCATTAGTTTATTAAACTCAATCATCTGCAAACAGGAGCCAGACAGGGGCGGGGCTAGTGACTGGGGTGGGCGGGACCGGGGCTGGTGACACATGAGGGGCGGGGCTGATGACGAGGGCGTGGTGGGATCATGACGTTAGCAGAATTTCAGTCTGTAGACCGTATTTGGGAATTAAAGCGAGGTTGTCGCCGTCTTAAAGGCAGGAGCGAAGGTGTATGGGGCATGTGGGTCGTAGACCGCCCACTCACATGCACAGCCCCTCCCCCCCACACACACAGACCTCACCCACACACACAGATCCCCCAGAAACAGAGCCCCAACCCAGTAGATAAAAACAGTAGAGAGGAAAGATTTTAAATCAGAAAAGCAGGTAGTCAGTATGGGTAGAGGCACGGAACAACACGGGGCAGAAAACTCTAGTGGGAGTAGTTTATAGACTCCTGAACAGCAGTCACAGTATCTCTCAAGGTATAAATCAGGAAATTAGCAGGAGGAAAAACATTAATTGTGGGTGATTGGGACAACCAAATTGGGAAAAGTATGATAGTGGAAGGGTTTATAGAATATAGTTTATAGAATATATTAGGGATAATTATCTGGATCAGTTTGCCGAGGAGCCAACCAGGGAACAGGCCATATTAGACCTTGTTTTGTGCAATGAAGTAGGGCTAATCAGCAAACTGGAAATTAAGACTCCTCTTGGGCAAAGTGATCATACGATGGAATTTAGCATTAAGTAAGAGAGAGAAATAGTTAAGTCCGAAGCAAAGGTTTTAAACTTAAGTAGAGCCAATTTTGCTGGTATGAGAGAGGATTTAGCCAAAATAAACTGGGAAATTAGACTTAAGGATTTGACAGTAGACCAGCAATGGCAGACGTTTAAGGAAATAGTGCGAAATTCCCAGCGAGCGCGTATTCCTTTGAGGAATAAGAATGCCATGGGAAAGGTGGCCCAACCGTGGCTCACTGGAGCAGTCAGGGACAGTATAAAGTTAAAGGAAGAAGCTTACAAAACAGCTAAGATCAGTAGTAAACCTGAGGATTGGGAGAACTTTAAGGATCAACAAAGGAGAACCAAAAAAGTGATTAAGAGGGAGAAAATGGAATATCAGGGCAAACTAGCGAGGAACATAAAGATAGACTGCAAGAGTTTTTATAAATATATAAAGAGGAAGAGGCTGTCAAGGGTAAATGTGGGTCCGCTACAGGCAGAGATGGGGGGAATTATAGTTGGGGACAATGACATGGCAGAGTCATTAAAGAAGTACTTTGCTTCTGGCTTCACCTTAGAAGACACTGAAAACCTACCAAGAATAGAAGAGAACTGAGAAGAAAATGTTAGCGAGCAACTTGGAGGAATTAATATTAGTAAAGGAATGGTTTTAGGTAAATTATCAGGTCTTAAAACTGATAAATCTCCTGGACCTGATGGCCTACATCCTAGGGTTTTAAAAGAGGTGGCTACTGAGATAGTGGATGGTTTGTCTTTGATCTTCCAAAATTCTGGATTGCGGAACGGTTCCCATTGATTGGAAGATTGCAAACGTGACACCACTATTTAAGAAGGGTCGGAGAGAAAAGATGGGGAACTATAGACCAGTTAGTCTAACTTCAGTGGTAGGGAAAATTCTTGAGTCCTTAATTAAGGATGTCATTATGGGATTCCTGGAAGACCATAACGAGATTAGGCAGAGTCAACATGGCTTTACAAAAGGGAAGTCATGCTTAACTAATCTTTTCGAGTTTTTTGAAGATGTATCTGCAGGTTACATAGGGGGGAACCAGTAGATGTAGTATATTTAGATTTTAAAAAGGCATTTGACAAAGTGCCACATAAAGGCTATTGCACAAGGTTAAGGCCCATGGGATTAATGGGAACATATTAGCATGGATTGAAGAGTGGCTAATGGGTAGAAAATAGAAAGTAGAGATAAACGGGTCATTCTCGAATTGGCAGGATGTGACTAGTGGAGTGCCACAAGGATCAGTGCTTGGACCTCAGCTATTTACAATTTACATCAATGATTGACATGAGGACATTGAATGTAACATATTTAAATTTGCGGATGACACGAAACTCAGTGGGATAGTAAGCTCTGAGGATGATGCAAAAAGATTGCAATGGGATATAGACAGGCGAGGGGAATGGGCGAGTAGGTGGCAGATGGAATTTAATGTGGGGAAGTGTGAAGTTATTCACCTAGGTAGAAAAAATAGAAAAACAGTTTATAATAATAATAACCCTTGCATTTGATATAACGCTTTTCACGTCGGGAGGACGTCCCAAAGCGCTTCACAGAACACACTGTAAAGTGAATTGACTGTATATTTGTGGGCAAACGTGGCAGCCAATTGCGCACAGCAATGTCCCACAAACAGTCGTAGATTGAAAATGACCAATTTATTATTGTTTTTGGTTTTGGAGGGATTATTATTAGGCTCTGTCTGGAGTAAGGAAACTTGCCCAAGGTTTCGCCCTGACCTGCCTGGAATTGAACTCAGGTCTCTCACTTGCAAAGCGAGTGCTCTAACCACTGAGCTACAGGACTCTATTTTCTAAAGGGGGAGAGATTAGATAATGTCGGTGTGCAGAGGGATTTGGGTGTTCTTTTACACTAGTCTCAAAAAGTTAGTTTGCAGGTCCAGCAAACAACTAAGAAGGCAAATGTCATGTTAGTGTTCATTGCAAAAGGTTTAGAGTACTAGAGTAGGGTAGTGTTGCTGCAACTGTATAGGGCTTTGGTGAGACCCCACCTAGAGTATTGTGTGCAGTTTTGGTCTCCTTATTTAAAAAAGGAAATACTTGCCCTAGAGGGGGTGCAGCGTAGATTCACTCGGTCAGTTCCTGGGATAGGGGACTGACCTATGAAGATAGGCTGAATAAACCAGAGCTATATTCTCTAGAGTACAGAAGAATTAGGGGAGATCTTATTGAAACATATAAGACTCTTAAAGGGCTGATAAAGTAGACACTGAGGGTCTGTTTCTCCTGGTAGGAGAATCTATAACCAGGGGTCACAGTCTTAAAATTAAGGGTCATCCTTTTAGAACAGAGTTGAGGAAACATTTCTTCACTCAGAGGGCAGTGACTTTATGGAATTTATGGAATTCGCTACCCCAGAAGGCTGTAGATGTTCAGTCCTTGAACATCTTCAAGGCTGAGACTGATGGATTTTTAAAAAATAGAGGGATGGGGGATATGGGGATAGCGCAGGTAATTCGAGTTAAGTCTGAAGATCAGCCATGATCTTATCGAATGGCAGGGCACAGGCTCGAGGGGCTGAATGGCCGACTCCTGCTCGTAATTGTTATGTTCTTAACCCCCACATACATACAGACCCCACGCACATACAGCACCTCCCACAGACACTCACAGCCCCACCCCCACACAAACACAACCCCCCACCTCCCCCACACACAGGCGCCCTTCCCCAACACACACATAC